TTCATTCATTCATTCATTCATTCATTCATTCTTTCATTCATTCATTCATTCAATCATTCATTCAAGAATTCATTCATTCATTCATTCATTCGTTCATTCATTCATTCATTCATTCATTCATTCATTCATTCATTCATTCATTCAGTCGCCCATTCATTCAGTCCTTCATCATCCTTTCATTCATCCGTCCATTCATTCATTGCTTCATTCCTTCTTTCAACTGTCATGGCTCATTCAGTCGTTCATTCTTTCATTCGTTCGTCCGTTCGTCGTTTCATTTGTTTTGTCATTTACGGATCGTTCGTTCATTCGTTCTTTCTTTCGTTCGTTCATTCTTTCCTCCGTTCGTTTCATTTGTTTCATTTGTTTCATTCATGCAGTTCGTTCAACCGCTTCATTAATTTCATTCGTGAACCTTCATCCGCTCTATTTGCTTCACTCATTTCATCACTTGTTTGATTCGTTTGAACCAACGCATTCATTCATTCATTCATTCGTTCGTTCATTCATTCATTTCATTCATTCATTCATTCATTCATTCATTCATTTCATTTCATTTCATTTCATTTCATTTCATTTCATTTCATTTCATTTCATTTCATTTCATTTCATTCATTCATTCATTCATTCAATCATTCATTCATTCATTCATTCATTCATTCATTCATTCATTCATTCATTCATTTCATTAATGCGTCGGTTGGCTCGTTTTGTTGGCTGGTGATATTTTTTTTGCATTGGCCAATTCACCTACACATGCACACTTCGACCCAACCAGGGTTCTTGCAGCAGCTACTGTATTGTCGCCGCGCTCTGCCAATGTTTGGCCAAGCTGCAACAATATGTTCGATCAGGGTATGTTTCTACGTGGATGCTTGGGCTGAGATCTACCGCATGAAACTTTGTGACTCGTTGACTATGCTTGATTCCTGTTAGAAGAAGGTGTATGTAAAGGATCTTCATCGTAGCCCCGTTAGTTGTAGCTTTGCTCGTCAAGCAGAATACGAACCGGTTGTTTCCATGAGCAAACACAAAGTTCGGGAACGCGTGGAATGTTCTAGTGCATGGGAACACCGATTCCACGAGCCCAAAATCAATTTGGATCATACACAAGACACACCTTGAAGACGCGGTTAAGAGTTAAGAGTGTTTGTCGGTGCTGAGTCTTCCCGTTTGGTCCTCGCAGGACACTTCAGATCCACGCAGTGGTTAACCAGCCCGTTCACCTTGAATTTGAGAACATTTGGGGCCAACAAAAGTTTGTCTAGCAGGAAACTCCTTCTGACGGCGTGCCAGATCTTGAGGCAGGAATCACAAGTTTGGAGCCTGAAAGGCCAAAGTGCATCGCATTCCCAGGCACCTTGGCCCCTTTTGGCTCGCAGCCAACCGGTCCCCTCAGCCTTTCGCCAGGTGCGCGAGGCCAAGATCCAGCTGGAGGAGGTGCCGGAAAAAGCAAACCAAGCGAACGGGCCACCTGGAGGCGTGTACCCTTCTTTTTTATGGCTTAAAGGCACACCAAAGGAAGGCGAAGCCATTTTGGGGCAACAAAAAGACACGCCCATGTTTTGAGAGACTCCCGTTTAGGAACGCATCAAGACACCACACCAAATGCTATGATACCACTTTCTGGGACGGGCCATAGCAATCCCTTTGCCCTAAGAATGCCTCCCCCCTTCTTCATAAAGAACAAGCCAGAGGAGAAACAGTTTGTATTCTTAGGGATCATTTTTTCCAGACTGGGCTGGCGACTCCCGTGTTGTTGCTACTTTTGTGTAGGTCTGGTAATGTGCGGGTCCGGGCAAAGGGTCCCCTAATACGACTGGACGAGAGGTCGGTGAGACAAATCGCGAGCTTAGTATTGGTTTAGAAGTGGGCTTTCGAGCGCGGTGTCGGGGACGCTGGGATGGTGTTTTTAGTGTTTGGCGGACCTTTCTTATTATTAGGCGGAAGTAATTACCCTCCCACCAGCTAACATGGAAGTGCACAGACCCCTGTAGAAAGTACTTTCCTGTTCGAAAGGGCCTTTTTGCACTTCCATGTTAGTTGGTGGGAGGGTAGTAGGTCGCGTGTTTCAGCTAGAGGGCAAAATGGAATTTAAGTGTGTGTGTGTGTGTGGGTGTGTTTGTGTGCTTGCGTGCGTGCGTGCGTGCGTGCGTGCGTGGGTGGGTGGGTGGGTGGGTGTGTGGGTGGGTGGGTGGGTGGGTGGATGTGTGTGTGTGTGTGTTTGGCCAATTGGCCCTTTTGGACAGCTCTGGGAAGCCTTGGCTCATGCATTTTTTGTTGGGTTGCCTTTGCCGCCTTGTTGACTCAGACTCGGGCATTCCAAGATCTACTTCAAAGTGTCTTGATACGTTGCATGTCGCGCGTACCTGTCCATATGCGAGAAGGTTGACTGAAACGGGTATCGTCAGCAATTGGACAGTGTTGATTGAACGAAGCGTGCACACACACACACACATGTAAACAAGCTTCTTCGTCTACTTTGTCAGACTGTCACGCGGGAACGTTAGCTTTCAAAACGGCGCACATGCTGCAACTGCCCGTGCATCAATGCCTGAATTGTGTCAGGAGAACCCTTTGAACGTGGTGCCAAAAAAGAAATCCGGCTGGGGAGGGAAGTGTTGCGGTTTCCCCAAGGAGCATGCGGGGCATCCCAAACTTGAGTTGATTCGGGACTGAATCCTTCACCCTGCGCCAGATCCAAGCAGCTCGCGAGCGGCTCAAGGAGCAGGCTGCCGTGGGTTCACCGCAGATTGGATTGGCCCCGGAAACGGGCTGTGTAGTTTATCCAACTTCCAGAGATGGCCCTGGCAACGGCGCCGCCGGAAGGCAAACCAAAAAGGTTTGGTACACTAGCACGGGAACGAATCTGGTTCGAGGCGGCAAGGTCTTCACCTACCACGCCGAGGTCAATATACTGCCCATGTCAGGTTTCGAGTAGCTTTCGTGTAGCTTTCCAGGCTTTTTGGATTTGCGTGTCCAGGTGTTCTGTTTGCCATGGTTGTTTGCCACTGCGGCGGTCCACCTGCAGCCTAGAGTCTTTAGATCAACACCTCAATGATAGCTCCAACAATTCAATGATACGAGCACGATGTCTAAACCGTATGCGTTTGTCAAACCAACAAGCAAATAAGCAAGTAGATCAACTGCACATTGTCATACAATATGTCTATGGAAGAAATATGTACAGTGAAATGCACATGTATGTGCATAGATGCATGCGTACACATATTTACACATGCCCATGCAACACGCACAGACACACAGACACACAGACACACAGGCTCACAGGCTCACAGGCTCACAGGCTCACACAGGCACACACAGACACACAGAGACACACACAGACACAGACACAGACACACACAGGCACACACACACACACACACACAGGCACACAGGCTGACAGGCACACAGGCTCACAGGCTCACAGGCACACAGGCACACAGGCACACAGACACACAGGCACAGAGGCACAGACACACAGACACACAGACAGACATATATATATATATATGTACAGACACTCACACACAGACACACACACACACACAGAGACTCACACGCACGCGCACGCACACGCACACGGACACGCACACGGACACACACCACACACACAATACACACAAAACACACACACACACAACACACACACACACACATCACACATCACACATCACACATCACACATCACGCATCACACATCACACATCACACATCACACGTCACACATCACACATCACACATCACACACAACACACACAGCACACAGACACCACACACACAACGCACACACACACACACACGCACACATAACAGGCGTAACAAGCACCCACATACACACGTATGCACGCATGCATGCATATACATACATACGTACGTACATCATACATACACACACAAATACATACGTACATGCATACGTACGTACGTACACACACACAGACACACACACAGACACACACACACACAGACACACACACAGACACACACACACAGACACACACACAGACACACACACACAGACAGACACACACACACACAGACACACACACAGACACAGACACACACACAGAGACACACACAGACACACACAGACACACGCAGACACACACACAGACACACACACAGACACACACACAGACACACACACAGACACACACACAGACACACACACAGACACACACCCAGACACACACCCAGACACACACCCAGACACACACCCAGACACACCCAGACACACCCAGACACACACAGACACACACAGACACACACAGACACACACAGACACACACAGACACACACAGACACACACACACACAGACACACACACACACAGACACACACACAGACACTCACACAGACACACACACTCACACAGACACACACACAGACACACACACACAGACACACACACACACACAGACACACACACACAGACACACACACACACACACACAGACACACACACAGACACACACACAGACACACACACAGACACACACACAGACACACACACAGACACACACACACACACACACAGACACACACACACAAACACACACACACACAGACACACACACACAGACACACACACACACAGACACACACACAACACACACACAGACACACACACACACAGACACACACATACAGATACACACACACAGACACACACACACAGACACACACACTGACACACAGACACACACACACAGACACACATACACACACACAGACACACACACACACACACAGACACACACACACACAGACACACACACACACACACACAAACAAAGACACACACACACACACAGACACACACACACACAGACACACACACACACAGACACACACACACACAGACACACACACACACACAGACACACACACACACAGACACACACACACACAGACACACACACACAGACAGCACACACACAGACAGCACACACACAGACAGCACACACACAGACAGCACACACACAGACAGCACACACACACACAGCACACACACACACACAGCACACACACACACAGCACACACACACACAGCACACACACACACAGCACACACACACACACAGCACACACACACACACAGCACACACACACAGACAGCACACACACACACACAGCACACACACACACACACACAGCACACACACACACACACAGCACACACACACACACACAGCACACACACACACAGCACACACACAGACAGCACACACACAGACAGCACACACACACACAGCACACACACACACAGCACACACACACACAGCACACACACACACACAGCACACACACACACACACAGCACACACACACACACACACACACACAGCACACACACACACACACACACACACACACACACACACACACACACACACACACACACACACACACACACACACACACACACACACACACACACACACACACACACACACACACACACACACACACACACTTGAACACACACACACACACACACACACACACACACACACACACACACACACACACACACACACACACACACACACACACACACACACACACACACACACACACACACACACACACACACACACACACACACACACACACACACACGCACACACGCACACACGCACACACGCACACACGCACACACGCACACACGCACACACGCACACACGCACACACGCACACACGCACACACGCACACACGCACACACGCACACGCGCACACGCACACACACACGCACACGCACACGCACTTATATGCATGTACTGTGCACTCTGTACATGTAAACAGTTACATACATACACATATGCTTATACCTATGTGTTCGTATACAGAATATATGAACACATATACATGCATAAATCTATACAGTATAGACGTTACGTACGAGCGCAAATCCACATGAGTATGCAGCGCGCACACGTACACGTACCACACCGGGGCAGAGACAGAGACAGAAGAGACAGAGACAGAGACAGAAACAGAACTGCTCGCAACAAATCCAAGAAGCTTCGGATGTCATTTCAAGCAAAATCGTAGAAAAAAGCAGCAGGAGATGCAGAGATCCAGTTGCCACATGGGCAAGGCGTTGTCTTTGCTCCACTTCGGAGGGAAACACAAATCATGGAGGCTCGACTCCTCCCTGGATCGTCCTATTGTTTTTATGCTTCGCGGCCAAGCTCAGCAAACCAAACATTGCTCGCCCGAATTGTTTGCCAAGCTCACACACACCACACGACACCACACGCACACGCACACACACGCACACACACACGCATGTGCGTGTGTAGCCGAGGAAACATATATATTGCCGCCTTTTGGATACCGTCCAGCCAGGTTGCCAACGAGGCTCAGGAGCTCCAAGTCGTGGAGGCTGGGATGGCGCCGAGTCGGTCTGTGGGTCTGTGGGTCTGTGGGTCTCAGCAAGAGCTGCTTATTTTCGAGCGAGCTCTCACCGATTCGGGGGTTTATAACGAGCGAAAGCCGTGATAAAAAGTGTTTTACTTGGGGATCCCTGAATTCAGCTTTTGGAGTTGTAGTAAGGTTTGCAGATTATATTAAGAGGGGTCAAACCAACCCGCAAGTCCTGAGGTAGGACGAATGGAGCTAATCGGATTTGGGGGTTTGGATTTGTGGGGCTCCCGTGGGATGTTGCGGGGTCGGGGCATGTGATTTGAGGCTCCAATGCGGCGCTGTGCAAAGAAGAGCCACTCTTGGTGGCTCAGATGCGGTACAATTCATTTCCTGAGCGTGCCGGTCATCACCAACATGACCTTTCCACCAGGTTTACAGTGTCCAGAAGCTGAGGCAATCTTAGCAAAGTGTGACAGCAGCAGGAATTGGTGCAATGGGCGGGTGTGAACATCTGACTCAACAGTTCGCCCACGCAGTCGTTCTAGGGGGAGTTCATGATCTGTGGGCGGTCTTGCCAGCCGTTCTAATTGTCAACGTTCTGTTGTTTTTGTTTCTCGGCAGTGCTTGTATGTGGGACTGATTGGCAGGCAAGTGGCAATTGTATTCAAGAAACGCATTTGGTCCTGTGAGCCACCAAGGATTTGATCAGGATGTGTTACACCATGGTAGGTCCAAGTATCAACGGGATGGGGGGCGCTGAAGCATGACTCGGAAGGTGGAATGCAAGCGCTCATCACTGGACTTGAAGTCCGCAAAGGAGGCGTGTCAAAGCTTTGGGGCGCGTGTTGTGATTGGAGTCCTTCTGGCTGCTGATGAGTAAATTCCCCCCTCACTGGCCCCCCCTCAAGGTTATCAAGGTTCAGAAAAAGAGTCAGTTTTTGGGGAGTTCTTCTGGACCCTTCGAGCTCCCATCCTGGTCCGCTCCGGTCCTCTCCCTGTCTTGGCCAGTAGGACCGCAATAAGAAAGTAAAAGGACATGGTGTTTGTATTTGTCCGGTGCTGGAGAGGGCCATGATTCAGGGGGGGCGGGTTATTAAGGGGGTTGGCCTTGAAAAGGGAGGTACCCATTGTGAGGGATTCGGGGAGGAGCAAGTTAGCATTAATCGGGGGATTACTATTCAGGCCCCAACATTACCCTTTCGAAGCTTGGTTTGGACAGGAATATATACCACAATTGTTGGTTGGTGTTCTCCCATTTTTGACACATATTCCTTCTGGCGTCTTGAAGAGGTGCCTTGCCAGTGGGACTTCTTGGTGCAAAGTCCTTACATCAAAATGTCAGGTGACAAATCAGGCCCCCTCTAAATTGCGCTTTCTTGTGGCTGCTTTTTATGAAACCATTCCAAATGGATCCGTTGTTCTCGCAACATTGCGATATTTGACACGTGCTCATGTGCAAGACAAACAATTCATTAGTGGCCGGTCCACTCTCCCAAAATGTTCGCCAACTTCCAAATGGATCACGGAATACAAGCGCTCCGAGACTCTCAAGCACCCCACACACACACTGCGTGATGCTTATACTGTACATAGCTTGTATGCCTTGGGCCGAGACAGCACAGGATCTCATGTGACCAGCTTTGTCTAGCTGATGCATGGATAATTCTGAGCATCGATTGAAGCTGCAAATAGGGATAGAGGGTGAATCGACCTCCGTCTTCGGGTGCCAGGAAAGGGAGCAGATCGAAGCGCAGGCGGGCGCCCTCCGAGCACCGGGACAAGGCTTCGGCCGCTTTGAACAGGAAGCAGTTGCCACGAGAGGGCCACTGAAAGGACATGAAGACAATGCAAACGGGAGTGGTTCGAAACGGTGATGCTTCTTAGTGGAGGTGGCAGCGTATTTGAGAAATGCTCTGATAGCACACAACAAGACGGCTCTACAACCAAGTTGATTACTGTATCAAGTCTGAAGTAGGAATGAGGGCTTCAAAGAAGCTGTATTTGTTTCATTTCTTTACTTCGCCCTCTTTAAGCCCTTTGCTTTATTATGTGTTTTCCTCTTGCCTTTATAATTCTAACCAAAAGTAGTGAAAGACCGCGGGCCACGCAAGACAGCCCAGAGGAGAGCGCGGAAGGCACCAAACGAGGGGAGTTGGAACAATTATTTGGAGCACCCCCTCAAATAGGGACCGCTTTTGGAGAAGTACCCATGTCTGGATGCGCAGTGTGTCACTCATCACCGGGCTGGCTTGTAGCTGAGAGGGAGCCAGGACAATTCTGGTGTACCTGAATCCAGAACGTCTTGTGCTTGGTCTTTCGCAAGCTTCGGGAAATCCAAAGTAGGTCAACCTGTTGGTGTATTTTGACCAATTGGTGCTGTGCGGCTAGCCTGAGCCTAACTCAGCTCTGCAGCCTTGAACTGCTTTCTCACTCGAGAAGAATTGGGACATCTGCTCAATCGTGGAGACCCGAGCGCTTGAATCCAAGCCAGCAAACACCCGGTTCCCTTACCAAGCTTTGCCAAAGACGCCCAAATGTGATAAGCCAATCAAGGCCTGGGGAATAGGACCCGCTTTAGACATCATGTCGAAGGGCGAAAAGCCGCCACGGTCGGAAAGGGTTGCGACAAGTCCCACCTTGTTTCTTGCCTGGAAGGAACGGAACATTCGTGGACCCCTGAAAGGAGACTGTTGCAAAGTACCCATACCTCTAAAAGGGTATGTGATGAAAAGGTGAATTTCCCCGGGTCAAACTGGCTGTCTCCACGGATCACTGGGAGTTCACCTGAAGCTTGGCTGCGATCCCGCGACCTTTCTTTGGACCTCTCGCTCGAGAGGTCCTTCAGCAGCGCCGAGAGAACGCAGCACTGCAGCGTGACATGGAGAGCGCCAGCCTCGAGGCCGTGCCAGTCGGCGTGATCAAAGTGGTTGGGGGAATCCAGCTTTGAACCCTGGCATGCCTCTGGGCGGGCCGGATCTGTCGCCATTGCGACAGATAGAAATATATTAATATACATATGTGTATATATATATATATATGTACACATTTGTATATATAGTATGCGTGCATATATATATATATATCTATAAGAGAGAGAGAGAGAGAGAGCGAGCGTCATTGCTTCGCAAGCTGTTGAGTAAAGGAACGCATGTTTGACCGGCTTCTTCCTTTCCTAGATCAGAAACGGGCAGGATGAGTGGGGGTGGCCGCTTTCTCATTAAACCCAGTACTGCCAGGCATGATGAGTGATGATCATGGGCATGCCATGATTTTTCAAGGTCAACAAGTCTCTCCGGCAGAGGACGAGCGTACATGCATTGGAATCGGTCAGATGAAGATTCTAAAGTGGTGATTGCAATGTTCAGCTCTCTCGGACCTCGGCACCGCATAACGCCAATGCCTCCTGGGGTGACTGAACTGAGACTGGGCATGTCGGGCCAGGCTGCTGGGGTGCGTGCCAAAATGATGGCAGCGAAGGAGGAGACAGATGATTGCACCAAGGCGCCAGTTCCGCAGAGAGGAGAGCATACAATCACTGAGTGGAGTGGAGAGCAGTGGAGGGCAGGTGAGGTGAGGTGAGCGAGTGAGCGCACGCTCATACATAGAGTGAATGCATGCATTCCACGCGCCACACTGCCCAATTATGCCAGGTGTTGAGTTTTTGCAGGCAACGCAAGTTCCTCATGCCACCAAGCGCTACACTTCTAGTTGCGGCCATGTTACCAGACACAAAAACAACCCCCGATATCACTTGCAGGCGAAACAACAGCAGGAAACGGATGCTGCTATTATGAAGGATGATGCAGCCCACAGGATAAACATAGTTGTTCTTTATTTTGGTAGTTTTTTATTTCTCGGCATTAAGGGATGAAGGTCTTTCCTTGATGGAAGCCCCATTGCATTTGTTTGTTTTAACGTTCAGTTGACAGCTCAAGGAGTTGCCATTGAATTTCTAAGGTCTAAGGGAAGCTTCTCTCTCCGTTTGGGGTGCCCATGGCCAAGCTGCAGCATGCACCGAAGAGAAGGCCTTAACAGGTCATCCTAAGTGCGGATTTCCGAAGCTTTGCAATCAGACGGAGTATTGTTTGTTTTCCCTGGTGCCTGATGTGATACAATGCTTGCGTAGAGCTTCAGCCGTAGCCAAATTGTTGGTGGGCGGTTCAGTGGCAGCAAGATGATTTGTCGCCCTTATGTGGCAATGTTGGGTGCTTGGCGTAAGACGCGACTCGCTACATGGCATATCTTTCATACCTCAAGAAGAGTGCCCTAAATAGGCGATGCAGTTGTGGGGAAACACGTTGTCTTTCGAAACGTCCAGCTCCTTTACAGTTGCATGACTTCAGTCCCGTCACTATCCCAGGGTGCTTTTGGCAGTTGGTCCGACGTATCACACACTCACACAAGAGGCAGCCTTCTCATCAGTGGTAACAAGGCGACCAGCTGCCTCGCTACTTTCTAGGTCCGTGGTATTAATGAGAGCCTTGTCCTTTGTGTTGTTCGTTGTTTGCAGAGGTTGCACTGCCTGTCTACCACCATGAAGCCTAGCAGGGCCTAGCAGAAGCATGGAAGATCATGTTCTGCATTTTGTGGGAGGCTCCTGGTTCCTTGTTGACAGGAGGGTACCTTTCAATCTTCGGCGCTCAGCGAGTGTCAGTAACGGCAAACATTGCTTCGGCAAGCATACTTCTGGCCCCCAATACAACCCTCATTACGCCTCCTATTCCTCGCACAGTTTGTTTCTGAGTTTAGCCAGCAGCAAGTGCTTCAAAGTATGGCTGTGCCTTGCGAGGGTACCCTTTTTCATTTCTTGGATTCTCATTGCCCTACACATGTACACAGCTGCACAGGCACTGGGTATGTAGTCTGGGAGGCATGTTTGTGTGTGTGTGTGTGTGTGTTTGTTTTGATAGGTTATTCATCTCTTCTTCCTATTTATAAACGGACACCCCAGCAATAAAAGCTCCTTCGGCCGACCCAAAAAGAAGCCACTACTGATTTTAAACCAATACTAAACTGCCTGGAAACAAGATGAACTCAGCCAAGCCAGCCCAAGCGCGAGTTCGTTTGAAGGCCTTGAAGGATCTGCTGGAGGGTCTGGGGCACTTCTCCCAAGCCTCCAACCAGAAGCTGGCCTCGGCGAGGGCCCCAGGCCTCTCCAGGCCTCTCCAGGCCTCTCCAGGCCTCCAGGGTTCCAGGGCCGAAGTTTGGTCAATGGGAAACGCTTGGGGTCGGAAGTTTGGTAAGACGACGGCATCCTCTTCAGAGGCGATTGACATGGCGGAACCCGCTGGATCGAGTGGTCTTCAGAGGTTCGGAAGTTCCGACGGAATCTGCGATGGATGGCTCACGCGAGGTTTTTCGTGTTTTGTGCCCGTTCGCTTTACCAAGTCAGCGGGTGGACATCATTCATGCAACATGTGCGTGGGACTTCAGTCACAGACCAAGGTCTTGGAAGCAGAGGGCCAATACATCGGCAAAAGGGTACAAGACCTGGGTTCAAAGGAAGTGAAGAAAGGCATTGGGCAACCCCTGGATTGTTTTATTGACTGAGCGTCTCGCAACAAGCACCAACTGCAAAGCACTCATCCTTGGAAAGAAAACGGAACGCAACTAGATTCTGAAAATGAACATTTCAGGACGTGTGTTCGATCGGCGACTCGGGCCATCAGCATTGGCAGCGAGAAGCTGGGAAGACTAGCGTGTAAGGAAGTTGGGCGTGCAAGATATCGTTGAGGAAAGGCCGCAAAACCCTTGGGATTACCTTCATGTTTGACTTATACATTGAGACCAATACGGTCATTACGAGTCTACAATGTATCTTTGTGCATCAAGCCTGTCCTTCCACAAGGCCACCGTGGGTCGCTTTGTGACTGGACTATATGAGTGCATTTACTCAAAGCCATTTTTTGTTGGGGCGGAACAGGGGAACAAAAAAACATGCCTTTCCTCACGGGGGGTTCTCAAAATCATGGTCCCCGCAAATGGTTGGTTTCGTTTTGGTTCCGATTTGTTTAGACTCCGAGCTTCACGTCCGCTTGCGATTTTGGTTGCGGGCGGTGCTTTCGTTGAGGCCGTGGACTGCAACGACCGCATCACACATGTGGTGGTCACGGGACCTGAAGAGATCGTGAAGGCGCCCAAACCTTTCAATGGGAATGGGCAAAGTCAACTAAGCCTTGGTTGGTGCACACTTGGTTGACTTGGTGGTTTGGACTTGGATTTGAAGCCCTGGTTCTTGTAGGGGGGTAAATGGGAAACCAGCCCCTCCCAACCACCCAAAAGGAGCTCCACAATTTGGAGAGACATCCATAGAACCTCACTGCTGACAGCAAGTTTCTGATGTACCCATGTGCTTGTTTGTGATGGAGTTGTCTTTCATGGCGGCGCAGAGCTTCTTGATTGCTTTGCAGCAAAAACAACTGAAGGAAGCCAGCATGCGGACATGTGCGACGCAACATGCCAATGTTGAGACAGGGATCCATGACAACACTAACATCTGTGTTTGTCAATGTCCCAATTGGTGCAGAAAACCCGCGTCCGCCATAACAAAAACAACTCAGCTGCGCGTGCGTTAGCGGGTTCTTCTTTGCTGGACATGGTCATATGTGCGAACAGATCTACAGAATAATCTGTGTGATTCCGTTGTCACGAGATTGGAATAGAAGAAAGTTCAACCAGTCAAATATGCAGCTCGTCTTCTATCGTCTTTTACCTTCGATTCCACCAATCCAGGATTCGGTTTTGGGGTTATATCCCATTCAAGAGGCCACTTCCAAACCATATCTTGAAGGAACATGCACGCGCGCATGTACCCACACACCTGTTCTTTGGTGTATGTAAATACATCTATGTGGTTGGTTGATGCTTGTCCATCGCGGTCCGGGGCAGTTGGCACCATTGGGCGCCAAGCTACTCAGTGTTTCAACCTACGAAGGGAGCCAGGGCATGCCATGCCGCGGTTCATGTGCTGGACGCACATTCGGAATCCAAGGCCTTGGTATGTCAAGCAAGATGGATGAGACAGTAGAAAGTTCTGTTGGGGCGGTTGTAAGTGAACCCAAACGCGGGATTCCAGTATCCATTGGAGAATTGGAGTTTCTGAATCTTTTGATTCGACAGTTGTCCAAGCCCCGGTGGGATTCGCATCGCCAGATCCGTGTTCCTTCGGCGCCGGGTGGTTCCCCAAGGCGCGGAGGGTGTTTTTGGAGTGTGCGGCTGGAGCGGTGCTAGATACGCAAATGGTTGCCTAAGTGCCTAAGTGCTGGTGCATGGCTCCCTTTCTGAAGAAAAGTCTTGGGAAAACGGTCTGAGTACCAGGGCCGCCATGACTCTTCTCCAAGCAAGAATGTGTTGCACGAAAGTGGAGTCTGGGTGGGGAGGTCGTGGAAGGGATTACAATGACAATTGTGAAGAGACGAGCTTACGCTGCACCCGCCACCTTCGCCGACCACACGTGGGCTGGTGCAATTGTTGAGCCCATTGGTTTTACACAGCCACATATTCCGTGCTTCAAGTAGACGCGTGTTTGTTACGGATTGCTTCAGAGCACATTGGCTTGTCCCAATTGTTTAAGCTCGAGCAAGACATCAAACCTCAATCTACACATTTTCTCACTGAACCATCTGCACGAACAGATTCGGCACATCATGGGCCTGTGGCTTGCATGCGTTCGGGCCTAGAGGCTGGAGGATTCTTTTGAAGAAGACTCAATCATAATCATCATCATGATGATAATAGGGGTTTCCTAATTTGACACATACCCATAGGGTGCGAGTGACAGGGAAGAGAAGTCGAATTGCGTTTCGCCAGTTCGCAAACGCCTTTTGATTCCATGCACTTGCTTACCGAGTCAACCTTCTTGAAGCAAAACAGCATGGTCAACAACATATGGTGTTATTCTCTGTGTGTGTGTTTATTGTTGACCGCACTTTTTTCACACTGCTCAGCCAATGCCAGTCAACCTTCTGATACGAACCCTCAAATTGGATACGACACGCTTCCATGACTAACGGAGAATCGTCGAACAGCTCACTCCTTCCGATTCTGGCCAATTGTGTTCAAGTAAGGAACAGGCATGAAAGCTCCATGTTGATCATGTGTGTGGATATGTGTGTGTTTTTTGTTTCTCTTGTGTACGTGGTGTACACCTCTCTCTCTCTCTACCTATGTACATATATATATATATATACATATTGTGCAATTGCACCAACAGCTGCTTGTACTGAATTTATGAGCCACCCGGCCACTGGTGTGTTTTGATTGATCATGGCGCAAGTGTTGACCAGCCACTGAAGTGGCTGTGTCTTGTGATCCACGTTCGCCCTCCAGCCCATGGCTCAGCCGCTATGGCTGTTTGTCGTGGCTCAACTCCGGAAATCCGGAAACAACTCGCAGTGATCGGAGCCCAAGGTTTTCCGTTCGTCCATTTCCGGTGGGTGTGCTTGCAGATGTTTTGAGAGTACCCTCGTTTGGGGTTGGTTTGATTGGAACCAGGAGGACAGCCGCCAATTTGTTGGCTTCTCTCCCCCTTTTGCCTCTATTCATCTGGGTGTGTCTTTTTTTAGGGGACACCCCCAAAATAATATGTTTTTTGTTTTGGTTTCCCTTTTAAGACCCAACCAAACAGGGGTTCCCCCCAAAAAAGAGAGACCCATTTGCTTGGGCTGCCATGACACCGTTGCAGGTCCCCGGGCCGCAGCCATCGCTCCGGCAGCGCCACACCCGGCACCCACGGCCGAAGCCTCGGCTATGAATTTGGTCCAAGCTGTCCATATGGTTGTGGTTGTCAAAACCTAAGGATGGTTACCATACGGTCTTTTGGGTCAAAACCATATGGATGGGTCAAAACCATGTGGTTGTGGTTAAGGAGGTTGTGGGTCAATCCATATGGTTGTGCCTTTTTGGGGATGGTTACCACTCCGCTGTGGTCTTTTTAGAAGGCTTTCTGGGTGTTCACCGGGGCGCCGGGGTTTTGTGACCTATTGCCATATGGCTACGAATTTTAGTGGTTGGTAATGATGTGCACAGGGTGCCCCAATAAACTTCACACCCCACATGGGTGGCTCGTCTTATTTCAAGGTACACATTTGTTTTGTGTGATTTAGGAATTCCAAAAGGATTTTATTGTTCAAGCTGCACCACTCGTTGTTTTGGTTTTACAGGAAGTCCCAAAGGAAAACCACGCAGTTTTGGGGGTCCCCGAAAAAGGAGACAGCCAAAATGGGGTGTCGTGTTTGGGGGGAACCTCCGAAAAGGGCGGTTGATTTGTGGTTTCTATAGCCAACCCCAAACAGGGTACTCTTCAAGAGGCAAGTGTTTCCAAGTGTGTGCGAACATACGGGACCTCCAACAAAAGCCAAGTTGGCCTTTGGTTCCCCCATTTTGCAACATGGGCTCTGCATTGAAGGGACGCTGGGCCACAAGCCATGGGTATGTTACAATGGGAGACCAGATATTTGCAGATCTGTGCTTCAAGTAGCCGCAATCAGGGTGTCCCAATTTTGGGAATTCTCAACTAACGACTTGGGAGATGGCTTCTGGTTGAGAGATGGTTGCAGTTGGCTTTGACACATCTCGAGTCGCAGTTTAAAAAAATGCCTAACTTGAGGGATGCCCGGAATTTTTAGTTGTACGCTTTGAAACAATGGAATTGACTTGATACTTATTTCCAATTGAAAGGTTTACTCGCACTGTCATCAACGCTTGAACAGGAAATCTGCATGTTCATCATCAAAACACCAGCTAGGACTGACTCTTATGTTATGGGAACGAGGGTAGACGCCACATCACATCACATCACGCAATCAGGGCTTGCTGTAGCTAGATGTTCTCAGGACGCTTATGGAGTCTGCCAAGCTGCAAGTGGGTCCTAGCAACCAGCTTTCCTTGAAAGGGAGCAAGCGCACGTCGGCACGCCAGACATCAAGGCCTTGCAAAAAAACGAGAGTGAGGGAGCTTTGCGAAGGGCTGATACGAAGCTCACAAAATGAAGCTAAAGGGATTTCCTTTTGCCACAGACAATGTTTGGTATGTTGCCTTTGCAGCCCTCTGAAAGTTTGGAATGAGTTGTGCGATCAGCTACTCTCACTACTCTGAGTGATCGCGGAGCAATGGGGAAACACTGAAGAATTGCATGAAGTGGACATCGCCATGTTGGAAAAGCCACTTTTTCTTATTTGTTCCTCTGGTGGGAAATGTGACTGGGGCGGCGCTGTACGGAATGGTGGGAGATTGCAGCTCGATTGGCCAAGTCACCTGTTTTCCAAGACTCCGAGGAGCCAAGACTCCCACAGCGCCGTTCAAATCCTCGAGCAAGTCCTTGTCGCCGCCGTTTCAGAGGCCCGCACGGGGGAAGTTGGCGACCTTGAGCGAGAGACTGGCAATTGGCAGCTTGAAGGCATGTGGCCGACACATGCCAGTTTTGTGACTTGATGCCGTCGAAAGAAAGGCATTCCATGATATCCTGTGCCAATAGAGAGCCCTCGGCTTGCCCGCCGTTGGCTTCGCCCGCCAGTGGCGGCAGCGGCACCAAGAGCCCGAACCCGGTGACCGCGCGCTCGCCCACGCCCACCTCTGGGACCGGACCCGTCGGATCGTTGGGTTTGTTGTGGGTGCTCGGAATCAACGGCAAGGCTCTGGTGAGTAGGTGGTTCAACGCATTTCAGAAGCCAGGGTTCCTCTTTTAGGAGTGTTACACTACAAGTAGTTGATCAACGGCCAAAGGGACTAAGCCAAATTGATATAGGTGTGGGTCTGGGGGTCTTCAAGCATCAAGGTGTCGAAGTCAATCTCATCTTATTTGATGTGCAAGTTGCAACTTACTTGCACACATGACGGGGGTCATGGCACTTGGTGGGGATGGTCATGGACCCGTAGGACACTGGCACAACGAAAACTTGTGTGTATGCGGGGATCCTGAAGAGACTCACCCAAATTCCAACAAATAGCACACTTAGACTCGCCGGTCTCGCAATGTTTGCAAGAACTGAGAGCCGCTCTGCTTGAAATGTGGGTTCGTGCGCAATGAGTTGGCTGGACAGCCGGGGTCATATGACAGTGGGTCAACACCAATGGCACCATTTTGGGCTAGGTGAATTCACCACCCATTCTAGAACCGATTTTCGTGGTTGGATTGACTCGGACGTTCACTGGGTAACCGATTTGGATCTTGAAAAGCCCATGGCCATTACGTCGCTCGTGTCACAAGAGTCGACGGTCTTCATCGGTTTTTTTTCCCGTGCGGGGCCTGAAGGATCCAAGCCGTCGACCCGCTTGAGGTTAAAATCGGTTGGACATCGGTTGAACCGGGGGCATGGTCTTCCCCTTGCAAGGGGTATCCCCCAAGGAAAACGCGCATGATAGTCCTTGAAGCAAAGAACAACAGGTGTGTGAGTTGTTGAATGACGCTGTTTGCATATTAAGCATGGGGTGGAATTCCTTTGCCATTTGCAGTCCTCCCAGGAACTGCTTTAGAAGTTTCTGAGCAGATGTCTGTGCTAGGAGCCGTTCCTCGCCCAAGCCGCCTGCAGCCCAAAGCGCACTGAACTTGCCATCCCAACCAAACGATATATTAAATTAAATTATATATATTTATTTTTCCGGGGCTGGCATTTGTCGGCATTTGTCTTCAACCTGTTGAGCTGCAAATAATTGGCAACTTCGGAACGCTATAATTCTGTCAAAACCACTATCACGTTAGGCCATACCCTCATAATTTGTGGAGAGTCACCTCAGATCAGCTTGGTGCAAAACCAAGGACAGGTACATGGATGTGGCTACTTTTTGTTGATACCCGAAAAGTCAGTTGTTGATGTGTCTTTCTTTGTACATGGATGCGTGTGTTTAGCGAAACCGAAAGAAACGCCGAAGTCCATTTGGAGACGTCAAATCCCTAGGTTGCCTCATACCATGTGTCAGTTGTTGCAACTGTCCCATGGTGCTGACATACTCCCATGGTGATGACATACTCCAAATGGACATTCCGACAGGCGAGCATTGTAGAAGCAAATGAGATTTGCAACTGCCCATTCGGAGTGTGTGAAAGGAACCAGAGCAATTCAGTCAGTGGAGTCAACACTGGCGTCATGCGAGCAATTCCTTTGCCCGAGGACCCACAGATTTAAACTGAGCCGAGAAAGTTGTGTGATGCAGCCCGGCAATTGTCAAATTGTCAAATGAAGCAAACACAAGTGTGGGATTCCCGCGTGATTTCGGATAGCCAACCCGGCGGCGAAATGGTCCCTTCAAAAGGAAAGTGGTCTTCCAGGACCCCGGAACTTCAGGTTCCATGGCACCGATGGGACCCGTCTGTTCCTTGTTGCCTGGAGGGGTGGATTCGCTAGAGACAAACGCACCGAGGTCAAGCGCTGGTCAAGATGCTGTGTCGCAGGCTCCGAGCTCAGCAGACCCCAGATTCGGACGAGTCAACTGGCGCGCCCGTGTTGGGTTCCCCGTTGCATATTTTGATTTTGGTGGAGGTGTATGCCCAAACTAGTGCTTCTAGTTGACAAGGCTGTAGGAATTTGGGTGAGCAACCAGGCTTAGGTGACGTTGTTTTTTTAGCTGTTTGAAGCCATTGCGAAAGCACAACGTCGGGCGCGAACGTTTGCAAATAAGCAAAGCAGGGAAAGGCACTTGGGCCCGGTTCAAGCTGGGCAGTTGTCCCGCATGTGCTATGATCAAAAGGGGCGTTTGTTTGTTGGCAGAGGGATGCTCCACACCCGTTTGATAGGTGTTTGAGGCAAGCATTATGCGAGCTGGTATACACGGATACATGACACCCCTGTGCAAAAGCTTTGCACATTGGCACACTGGCACTCGTAGCAACAACTAGATGCAGTGACATCAACTGGTGACAGCAACCAGCAGGCGCTTCAAACAAAGATGAAAGCGTTTGGCGCCTAACTCGGGATACGCGCTGCTGCAAAGCAGTTTAACTACATTTAAGGCCTCGGGTTGGTTTGAGACTGGTTTCTCATTTCAATGCCACTGTATGCCCTCTACCCACCAACCGCACCTTGCCACTGGCCATTGAAAGCCAAGGGCTTGGTGGAGGTTTGACACGGGAAATCACGTGAGCGCCAGGCCCGCAGGCAGCTGGTGGACGTGGAGGAGCAGTACGGGAAGCACAGCAAGCAGGCAGCTGGGAACCAGCGAGCTCGCCGACAACGAGCTCATGGTAGAGGTCCTTTCCTTGGGGATCCATTCTTAGTTCAGCTTTTTGAGTTATAGGAAATCATACTTTTCTGAATTCGGCTTTCGGAACTATAGGAACGATTTGCAGACATGCGTCAAAACCCGCCAAACAGAGGCAAAGGAGAAAGGGGTGGTTGGTGCGGGACACCGCACAACTGGGAGGCCTGGGCTGTCATCAAAAGGGCTTGGGACATTTGACATTCTGAATTTGAAATTTCAAAGTGAAGTATTATATGTGATTTCGCATGTTTCAGGTTCACTAAATGTGGGCCAAACTCGAACGTCGTATTGTGGTTTGGGGGCAGAAGTTCAAGACGCTTACACGTTACACCTCTGAAGGTCAACATGTTTCTGAGGTATTGCAGTCTTGGAAGACTGTGTGGTTGCCTTGATTTCCTAAAGTAATAGATACAAGGGAGACATGGGGAGTTCTCCTGGTTCTCTACATTTGTCTCTCAGTCCTTTATCGTGCCAGAATGGGTCCCTTGGTACATCCTCATACAAAATGAGCTTCAAACTGGATCAAGTGCATAGAAAGTACTTCGAAAGCCGCATCTTCATGCCAAAAAGTAGTCTCAGAGGGAAGCTGGATGATTCTTGGGGGAGGCTGGGCTTTCCACGGCATGACTTGGGGCCTTTTCGGTTTCTTAGATCCAGGCGGTGCACGCGGCCACCGAGCTGGCGCTCCAGCTGGAGGTGCATATTATTTTTACCCGGACGCGAAATCCATAAAAGAAAAAAACGGGAAGTCACTCCCGGTGAAACCACCAGGGGACCTCAGGTTTTGGTCCTTGGTTCCATTTGCCAGGGTTCCATTTTGGGAACCTAATTCTGCAGGGCTCCTTAAAAGATCTCCCTTTTGCCCAATTGAAACATGTTGCTTTTTCCGCCCAAACAAAGGGAAACCACCATTTACAAGGCAATGTTCAGGTGTATAATGTAAGGATCCCCGGGCAATGACCCACTTCATTTAAGGCCGTGGTTGTCAAAACCGTTTTGGGATCCCATTTTGGGCTATGTGAATTCACCACCCATTTTAGTCTGAATTTTAGTGGGGATTGGGATGTTCGCCGGGGGTTACGGGATTTTGACCCATGGCCAGTTGTCCTTTGGACCAAACCCCAAGAATGGCACCCTCCAAAAACACATCCTTTTGTGGTTTGTGAAGCCAGTTTCAGTGAATCTTAGGGACTATGTTTTGATCAGACCTATCAGCTATGTCGCACTCCCCTGAAGTCACAATGGCTGATGCTTTCCTTTGGCCTACTTATTGAGGTCAAAGATCCCATTTCAGAATGATATGTCGTTGGCGCCGGCACATGTGCCTTAAGCAAGGACAAAGGCGTTGGCCAAACCTGTGCCCGCTTAATGCAGGTCTTTCCGCAGTTTGCATTCGCGCATGTTTTCTTTACGACATAAGTTGCGTGTAGATGCATGTACATGGAACTCCACCAGTTGTCTTAGATGGCAGCTGGGTAATCTACTCTGCATGCGTTTCCTTTTTCCATGTATCCCACCAACCAAACCCATCTCACAAGACCGAACCCCATCTCACAAAAAGTCAAAACAAAAACGGAGGACGCAAACCAAGCGCTCCGAGGAAGTGGGGGGGTGGACTCGCCTTCACTGGCCAGGAGTTCACGCCGGCCACGAAGGAGGCGGGAGCGCTGTTGCGCAAGGCCCTGGAGAGCCGGGCGGCCCAGGGCTGGCGCGGTGGGAGGGGGTGGGGCAAGGGGTGGGGGATGGGGTTGGGTTGGGGGGGAGGCAAGGGGCGGGGTTGGTTTCTGGGGTTGATCATGGGAAGAAACGCCAAGAAGTGATTGGGTGAGTGTCAGGGATATTGGACCCCCCTCCGCAAGATGGGGGATTGGGTCGGGTGGATTCTAGTTGCAACTAGCAGAAAGGAGGTTGCAAAAAAAAGGCGCATCCATTTGGCTATGAGTTGACATGCTTCAAACAGCCTCGAACTTGTAGGCGGACACTAGCTATAAAAATGATGTCCGCCAAAGAATCTCCAATTGAGGTGCACGGCCATGCTATGGCAGCCTCAGGGACTAGGGACTGGGCCACGGACCATCAAGGGCACTGACCTGTCCTTTCGACTTGCCATGGCTCGGTATATAGTTGACGAGGGAACTTATGGCGGACCAAGGGATGGCATTGAAATGAGTCTCTTTAAAGACGAGAACCTAGCCTATAGCTATAGCCATTTGGAGGGGTCACTCTTTATCTGTACGTGTCCAAAGGGGACAGATGCAGATGTGGTCAGCATGTCTCTACTAGCTTTCGAAACACATCTCTTGACAGATATTGCATGTCTCTGATAGATACCCATGCGTCTCACATGACTGATCCCCAGAACATAGCACGTAATGGATCTATTTAAATCACGTTTCTGTGATCTTCTGCATGGGTAAGTATGTGAAATCAGAATTGCTCGAGCCAAATGGTGAATGTATGGCTAAAGCGCCATAAGATAAATTGATTGCCCTGTTTCTTTGTTTCTTTGCCACGAGCCCCCTTGCACCTTGTTTTGGCGAATCCCCTCGAACTAGCAGGCTGAAGGGCCTCGGCTGTTCAAACAGAAGTTTGGGAACACCGCCGGGTAACGGTGGTCCCTGCTCGTGCAGAAGCTTGCTGTCCCTTGGCTATTTGTGGCAAATGCAACAATTCTCGGGCTGGGTGATTTCTGCTGTCGGGATCTTGCTGGATGAATTCAGTCCTTTGGTTTAGCGAAAGGCAAACTAAGTACTTCGAGTGAATACTCAATGCCCGCCCAAAGCTGCCCATGTCATGGGACCGCACAGCCAAATAAATATTAGAAAGCCCAGGCATGCATGGCTTGTCCTTGCAGCCCTTGCTCCTGGCTTCTCCGTTGAGGTGCCATCGAGATCTATGGCAAGGAGCATCTCAACACGCTGCGCACGGTGAACAACTTGGCGGCCGGGAGCCAAGCCTTGGTGTTGCTACGCGAGGCTAGCGGGTTTGGGATTGGACACAATATGTGTCACATACCCGAAGCATTGCAGGTCTAATGACCAGAGCAGCATGCCGACGCAGATGGAATGCTAGCGCGTAGGGGATAAGGTTCTATTCCAAGCGAGAAGCCTTGAGAAAATTTAGTTTTGGGTAGTGCTAGAATATTGGATTGTTGCTGCTTGCTTTTCCGTCGTTGATCCATGATTCACTCAAACGTTGCAGATCAGCGCTTCAACCATATACAGCAATCGTACACTGTGCCGGAGAGTGTTGATTGCTTGTTTGCTCGTCAGCGCTGCACGGCCATCACTCCGACTGAAGTCAAAATACGACTTGCAGCAAGCATGATCATGCAGTCTTTTGCTCGTAGTGCAAACTACAAAAACGTTGGAAGATTCAGATGTATGTCATCCACATCTTGTGTTCTGGGCATGAAGATATATGATTCGTGTCAACATCAGTGCTTGAAGGGTTTGCCACGCATGATTCAATGAGACCCATCGCTGGTCGCTACCCACATGTTCAAAACGAGGTGGTCTGGCGCACGTGCGTAGCTTGGCCCATGAAGTGGAGGATCGCAAATGATCTGAGCAATCAGCTTAGGATTGCCAGTCTCATTGGCAGTCTGCCATCAATTGCAAGTCTATTGGAGTGGGGCGACGTCATAAGTTGTGCTTTTTATGTCAAAGTTGAAAAAAACCAGAGCTCGTCCGGGTGAGAGAGATACGACAAGTTGGGTGTCCTTTTGCATTGCAACTGAATATGCTAGCCCGGGCATGAGCATGCTGGTGGTTGTTCCCCTCACAGGTTGCAGAGTTTTTCTTTCGGTGAACTCTCGGCTCAGTCGGCGGCAACTTACGCACTTCACCCGCCCCTTCAAAGGGAAATTCAAAGGCGGCACAGTTGCCCATCCATCTCGGACAAATAATGAGCCCACCTAAAGGTAAAAACAAGCTCTTTCTGCTGGAGGGGCCTTATTTCTTGGTGAATTATCAGCACCTTGCCCAGACCCAAGGTGTACCTGGACAACCTCGGCGAGCGGAAGGAGGCCTTCTTATAGCATGCGTCGGACTTGCGGTGGCCTGAAAATGGGCCTTGGCGTCAAGTTTGGTCTGGTCTTCTTTCCCTCAAACTTGGGGAAGAGCCAATCAATTGGTTGGTGGTTTGGATTGGCGCTGTGGGGATTTGAACCCCTTGCGTAAATGGGACACCCCCGGAAAATTTCAAGCCACCCACAAGGAAGCAACAAGAGACACCCCATGCCCTTCGGACCTTCGGACCTTCGGCCCTTCGGACCTTCGGACCTTCGGACCTTCGGATGTGCGCATCCAGTCCTGGCGTTCCGTTCCGCTCCAGGCCTTGGATCTGTACCTTTGGGCCCGCAACGGCCGACAGCAACAGCCCAGGGCCCAGGGGCCGAGGGGCCGCGTGCGGCTCAAGTAGAAACGAAAAGTTGTATTTGGATTTGCTCAAGCTACCCAGAAGCTTGAGCATGGGCATCATTTTGTTTCGTTGTTGTTTGTTGTCGTGCAAGAGCTGGGGAAACTTGAAAAAACATCTTCGGGGTGGTGAAGGTTTTTTTTTTCTGAAAGGTTATGTTGCCTTTGGAGTGCCGGGAGTGCAGATTGAAGTGCTTAGATAAAACATTTGAGCAACATGTGTTTCATATTTCATGAGTTCACGGAGAACGCAAAGGATGTAGCAGAGTGGACCTCGGAGTGTTAGAGATGTCCATCAGTTGCCGCAGAGCATCCGTTCTGCAGGTCACATCAGGGGCCACCTCAAGACATGGGCGTTGCAACAATCTGGGCAGCTTATTATAATTCCCACACTGGAACTTGAGGAAACCTCCTAGTTGAGATGCTTGTTCAATTCCTTCAGGGTTTGTACACAATCATAGGCTCAGCAACCAAGGGGTCTTCAAGACGTTTCTCAGGACACCTCAGCCAAGGCCCTACATCAGGCAGGCACACGAGTGATTTTTCTCAAAGAGTCGAGCATGTGGGTTTGTCTTAACTAGGCAACCCCGAAAATGGTGGCTTTCCTTTTTTTGGTGTCTCTTTAAGCCTTTAAGCAATTACAAGAGGGTTTCCCTAAGAACGGATTCCCTCATTTGCAGTTCAGCAACCTTCAGGAGCAGAGCCTGAGCGCACTAGCAGCACCTGGACCAAACGGCGACCGGGGGCGACCTGTCAGATGCAGCAAACCATTGGTCCTTGGGTTCAGTTCGCGGGCCCGGTAGAGAACTCGCGCGGGTCTCTCAGACCAACGGCTTTGAGGTTTGCTTGTGGAAGGTGGAGCTCGTGCTTCGAACAACTCAAAGCCCTCTGGGGATGGTCTATCTAAAGACAGCAGCTTAGGAAGCAGCTGGTCCCCACCCTTCCGAGGTCGGGGGACTTTCCATGGGGGAAGCCAATCACAGAGGAACCAAGATGGCGTGTCCACCGGAGCTAGCAGCTAGTTTGTAGTGGGGTTGGGGGAAGGCCAACTCGGGAAGCCCTGAATTGGTGGTTTGGATTTGTGGTTTGGGAAGTTGAGCCCCTGTTTCTTGTCAAACATGGGAAACCACACCTAACCGCCAAGCCACCAACCCGCAGATCCAAACCACCAATTCTTTGGTTAGGACTTTAACTTTTTGCCAACTAATGGGTTTTCCATTAAACCACTAAAAGTTAAACTTTTAGCAGGGGAGCAGAAAGCAACCGAGAATTGGTAGGAAGCTGACTTGAGACCAGTCGCCCCCATTTTCGTTCCCAAGGCTGGGGCCCCACCACCCTTACACGCTGGACTCCAGCTTCAATCTTGCGGCGGGGATGGGTCCGGGGGTCCTGGCACTGGTGCTGTTTGCTTTTTTGCTTGTTGCCTGGTTTCTTGCTGGCTCCCAGCCATGCGGTTCCGTAGCTTTGTAGCTTTCTAGTTGCTTTAGTGGGGGTTCCCCCATGTAAGCCACCAAAAGTTAAGCTTTTGGCAGGAGAGCAGCCATGGCAGCCCAGGTTTGGGGTGTTGCGCTGGTTGCCTTTTGGTAGACCAAGCGGAATTGCCTGCATGCTTGCGGTTGATTTCGAGTCATGAGTGGCGGTCATGGTAGGCTGCTGGAGGATAAGTTTGCGAGTGGTGAGTGACAGCCTGCCATATCTTGCCATATTTATGATGTGTCGCCAATCGTTGGGTTCTTTTTGTTGGTTGAAGATTGCAAATGGTTTGCCAGCTCCGAAAGCAACTCCGGCTGATTGATTCGTCTCTGGACCCATGGCCTCCAACCCCCTCGACAGATGCCCAAATTAGTTGCCTAGAGTCAACATCGTTTGGGAGGCTTATCGAACATGGCCCCCGGTCAGAATTCCAGGTCAGATTGCCAAGAGGGCCAGACCCGTTGGAAACTCCCAACGTGTGGAGTTGTCCATTTCCACCCACCCATACCGAGGGGATCTGACTGCCAGACTTTGAGGGGATCTGATCTGACACTTTCAGGCCCAACTTAGTTCCCCCACGAGTACAGAGGCGCATCTGAGTCACAGTTCGCCCACCTGCCAGTCCTTCTACTTCCACTCCGGCCAGCTCGAAAGCGCCAAGGAGGCTGATATATTTTTGTTGAGCTTTCAGTTTCGTCCGGTGAGAATGGCTTTCGTTTTAGGTATGGCCATTGAGTTCAGGATGAACACCTTGGCCCCCTGATGATTAATGCAGCAGATGTAAGATGTAGCACCTGTTCCCTCAAATGCCGGGGCTGGCCTGGACCCATGCTATCACGACACATTGCTCACATGTGTCATCGTTTCTCTAGACAGATGCACACAAATCATAGAACAAGCTCAGGTACGAGCAACAGCGTGAAGATTTGTTTCTACCGACATGGCTAGAGGCTTTGCTCACGCAACTCCTCAAAAAGTAGACCACTGAATCCACAGAGAGGGAGAGAGAGAGAGAGAGAGCAAACAACCCGGCGCTTTGTTTCATAGCTATTCATGCTGCTGCCAAAACCACCCTCTTGGAGATGGTGTCTGATGAATCCATCAACTGTTTTTGCTCAAAGGCACTTCCGTGCACATGTTGCTTGCCCAGCTCAAGCCCTCTGCGCATCGCGCTCTGTTTTTGCCTACTGCATTTCATGGGTTCAGATCCGATTGATTAGAAGCGTTGTATTGTTTCCAATATAGGTTCATGATTGAAAGCATTGCGTAGAATATGACTCCGGCCGCCAAGTCGCAGCGCATGCTGGTCAACATGGGATTTGGGTGCTGACCTGAACCCAATGTACGTCTGTGGCATGGACAAGATGTTTTGCGCGAATCGTCGGCTGTCTAAGAATCCTAAAGGAACGAGAGTGCTGACCTTGGTGCGGTCGCCCATGTGGGGATGTCAGGCAAAATCTGCAAATCCACGGTGGATCAATGCAACAGAATATATAGACACACCATGTAGCTGTAACAAGCCTCTGCAATGACGCACAAAACGAATGTAGACATATATAGGCCATGTATACGTATAATATCTACCTTTGTTAGCCATCCAAGAGTCCTATTTCACTTAGCGCAACAATGAATCCATCGAGACCAGAGGCTGGCCGGTGCCCCGGCCAGCGGGGATTGCCCGAGTGATTGGTTTGCTGGTCTGCGAAGCACAGCTTTCGGTTCCTTTCAACGTTCATGGAATTTCATCGGTTTTTCTGTCGGGGCTTGACCCCAATAAGGGTGTTTTTTTTTTTTTGAGGGTACCCCTTTCTGGGTGGGTTTCAAAGGGAAGCCAAAACGAAGCCAGCCATTTTTTTGGGGTCCTCTAAAAAACGACCCACCCATATCATGTCAATCTTTAATAGAGCCATGTGGGAAGCGTGGACTTTCTTGGCTTGGCGTTTCTGGGCGAATGCATTGCCAGACCTTCATTGAAACCCGAGATGGCTGCATTGAGACTTTCGGGCCCGGGCCTTGAAAGTCGCTTGCTTTGCGTGTCTTTTGGTTTATGTACTTGCGTGTTAAGCTTGCAATTATTTTGCTTGCATATTTGGCTGCAGACTTGGCTCTTGTCTTTGTTTGCAGTTGAATGCCATTGTTTGTTTTGTGCGCGTGTGTATATCTTGCGTACTTGCCGCCACTACATGTGCATGCCGTAGTATTGCGGGATGGCTTGAAGTCTGCGGTTGATCCATTGTTTATCGCTGCCCGGGGTCTTACAGCCGCCTCAACGGGATGGCTTTGTTTTGCTATCAATGCAATGTGACGCGTCTGAGTCATGACACCTCCGGTCCAAGCGCCCCGAAGACTCCAAACAAGCAATCGAGCAGCCAAGCAGTTGGGCAAGCCTGTTTTCGGCGACTAAGGTGTGAATTGGCCAGGTTGTACGCATGAAAGATCCTGATGATTTCAGGTGAATCATCAATTACCCGCATTGCACGACATGGTTTGGCCACGAACAGAGGTGATCCTTGCGACAGCTACCTTTGAGTTTGAGTTTGCCTTGGGCCCTTGGTGTGTTTTGTGTTTGTTAAGGCATGGGTTTCCACTACTCAATGGATCAGTATCTTACGGAGTTGAGCCAGTGTGAAATGGGCATGGGTCCAAATCCCGTACCCCCACTGAACATCCCAATCCCCACTAAAATAGGTTCTAAAATGGGTGGTGCACCGAAAACCCCAAAAATGGTACCAAAACGGTGTTGACCCACATTCACGTGGCTTTTGGAGAGCCCCATCCGTGGCCACCCTCAAGGCCAGGAAGAAAAAGACGGGGGGCTCGTCTTTTTTGAGGCCGCCCCCGTGTTTTGGTGGTTTTAAAGCGAAACGGAAATCCGAAACCACGTTAAATCCAGAAAACGACGAGCCGCTATGTTGAAAGAACCCCCGCTGTGCCTGGCTTCGCGGTTTGAGGTGGAGCCACCCTGGCACCCTTGACTCTGCAGAGCGCATGGTGGACATCCATGAGGTGGGAAGCCCTCAAAGGGAAAGTTCGGCGCCACAGCAAAACCTCACCAACGCATTGCATGCCTCCCATGACCCCATAAAATGAGATCCAATCAATTCCCACACTTCCACGTGTGTAATTTGTTTCATTTCTCTCTTTGTGATGCACATGTGTGACATTGCATCCTTGAATTTGGCAACAGAGAGCTCTTGTGGCTAAGAGTTCACCCACGCACACCATGGAGCTCAAGAGACTTCCACCCCGGACGATACGCCTGTGTTGCAAAGAACCACAACTAAGTGAAAAAGTGACAAGTTTGAAAGGCATGGCCCCATTGGAACACTTTCATTTCTTCCGTTGTGTAGAGAGCTGACGGACACAGCCCACTTTGCACCATGGATGAAACATTAGAAATGGTGTGTAGAGGAGTTTCCTCCTTTTGGCCCCCCCCTCCTTTTTGGGGTTCCTTCCGTTGTGTAGCGAATCCGTCAGCTGGACGCCTCTTGGATTCCAATCGCAGGCAGAGGGCGACTTGGAGATGGCCCTTGAGGTGTGCAAGGAGTTGATGCGCCACTGCGAGGACCTGTTCGACTCAGCGAGTTTCGCCGCTTCCCGAGGAAAATAGGAAAATAACACAACGGATGAGGCAAAGGAAACTCGTTGCTTGAAACAACACGAGCTTTAAACAGAACAAAGATACGCTATACATACAAAACATGCAACGGAGTTTCTTCGAACATTTCAGAGGAGCAAGTTGCGTCATCGCGAAACTGGGGTATGGCCTGTGGTCAAAGTGGTCAAAGTGGGTCTGTGTTTTTGCGGATACCCTTTGTCAGGTTGGTTGAAAGGAACAGAAGGCAAACCACTAAAGTACACCAGGGTGAAACCAGATGGTGGAATTTCCGCAAGGGGATGACTAAACCAAAATGCGGGAAGTGAGCCATCTACTGTATTGGCTGGGAGAGAGCTCCAATCCCCTGCAGGATCTGTGTCTAGCAGAGTGTCTATACCACGGAACCGCGGGGTGTGAGCAAGGGATGACAACTTTTAGATGTGTCAAAGATCAACATTCCCCCACCCCATTTTCCTGTCCAGACTTGCAAGCCTTGAACCAACCCACGGGGCAACGCTGATGTCGCCAGGAGGCTTATTCCCAGGAGCACCCGCAGACCCTGCGATGCCTGGTGGGCTGGCTGTTGACCGATCGACATTCGACTCGTTGGGTTGGTGGAAGTGGTTGGTTTGGTTGTCAATGCGTCTACCTGTTGTATGCCGCTGACTGTCTGTGTCTGTGTTTGTGTTCATTGTGCAAGTCTATGCTAGAAGCAGTGGATGCCACTTGGTAAAGCAAGCACAGGGGAAGTCTCAAAATGAAACGGTGCTTCAGCCTTGGCTCCTTCGAGGTTTGCTGAGAGAGCAGTCCATGCGGACTTCCATAGTTGTTTGCCTCCAAATGTCGAACCTTCAAAGTTGATGTGGCCATGGGTCAAAATCCCGTACCCCCAGTGAACATCCCAATCCCCTACTAAAATAAGTTCTAAGATGGGTGGTGCACCTACCCCAAAATGGTACCATTCGTTTTGACCTACAGCCATGTCTTCTCTTGGTTTCCCTTCAAGGCAACCCACAAAGGGTACTCTCGCAGCACGCCGCCTGTTGCGACCAATTGAGCTCCTTTGCCAGGTGACTGTGGCATCGCTCACTGCAGCGCTGGGCCGCATGGAGGAGGCGCAGACAGTCATGCAGCGGTTGGCCCAAAACACACGAAGCGCATTTGGATGAGTCGTGTTTCTTACGTCTTAGTACACCCCCCTGTTTGGAGACAGACAAACAGTCTGTCATACAGGCAAGAGGTGTGCTCAGGTTTAGGAAGCATTGGTTTGGGGTGGGCAATGGCCCGCCCAGAATAGATGCCTGGGAATCAAAGTTGCCCCCCTCAGCCAAGTGTCAGCATCCAAAGCTATGACTACGGCTATGGCTACAACTACAAATGTCTGTATTCAAGTACATGTGCAATACAGATAATACTCTATATACGTCTAGGGGTTTATTCCCCATTCTTTTCAACCATCGTTCCTTTCAAAAACCGGATGTTTCCCCGTGGTGTTTGATGGTTGAATGGAAATGGAAGGTACCCCTGGAATACTTATACTTCACTGTTCTTGGCATGTTTTTTAGTTTTTTAGTTTGGCATGTTTTTTTAGTTTAGAGATGATATAAGTACCATATGGCATAGTGTATGGCCATTCACCGGCCGGGCATTTTCTTTTTTCGCGAGAGAGGCAGAGGAGCTGCACATCCAAGCCATCACTAGGCAGGGGGGAGCCGGGAGGCATTTGAGCAACAGGTCGATTTGGCTGTGGGTCAAAAATGGGTACCCAAAATGGAACCCTGGAAAATAGAAACATGGACTGACACCATTTGGGAACAGACACCCGAATCTTGAAGCCATGAGCTAGTAGCCCCGTAAACACAATCCTTCCCGCCAGTGGCACGGAACCAAAGGATCTCTTTAACATGATCTTCCGCCTGGAAGTGGGAGGGAGGGTGCACGTGGCCGTTGAATCAGTCATTTGCAACAACTTATTTTACTATGCAAAGGAAGAGAACCATAAGATGTGATGATAAGAAGAAACATGCGACGCTGCAAGCATGATGATTCGGGGGCATACAACTTTTTTGCGCCAAACAAAAATGGCATTGGGTCAAAGTTGGACCTGGGCATCGCAAGGAAAACAAGGCAGGAGAACCCAAATGAGTTCGAGGACCTGTTTTGGTGCGAGTCCTGACTCTTCCACAGTTGTTCCAATGGAGTGAGGGTCTGCCAGCTGGAGTGAGGCATCCATGAGATTATGAAGCCTTGCTGAGTGCAGGGCTCTGCTTCAGCAAGCCCTCGGGAGTCTGCCAAAGCCGCGAGGAACCAGTTGCGCCTCTCACAAGTTCTCCAAACCGCAAGTGGTCCAGGAAAGCAACCTGCAAATAGCAAGGCCCAACGGAAATCTTGGCTTTGAGGACCTTGGTGCCATTGCCTTCCTCGCAAGGCATGAGGATGCACTTGGCCACGGCGATCCCAAGACGCCACTGGCTTAGATCACCGAGCGTCGCCGAGCCCTTTCACAATGCATCTATTGGCGGAATTCTGGCTTGAGGCGATGGAAAGATAGTTCATTGAGGGATTAGAGCGGATGCACAGAGAATCAAGCCCTGGGTGTGATGTTGAGATTGCATTCTCAGAAAGAACGACCTTGTAATTAGAGGAGCCATGTTGACCGGCGTTGCTTGCTGCAAGCCAATGATTTACGCCGGCCTTTCTTAAACAGCTCACAGACTGAGAGAGAGGCATTGCCCGATGTTTGAAGCAGAGACTAGCAGTGACCGGACAAGTGAGCGGGACCGGTAGGTTTATAGATGGTGCAGAAATTTGTCAGTTTTCACTCCCAGAGACTCTTGCCGCCGTTGGAGTCACCTACAGACTGATACCTCCTGGGCCGATGTGATTTGAGAGCTAGAGGCAAAGAACGCCCAGTGTGACGCTTGAAGACACGAATGCCACAACTCACGAGGTCGGCGCCTGGCCATTCTGGCCATAGGTTTTACGGTTCTTGGTCAAGCTGTTGGACTGAGCCAATGGGCCAAGGACAAGTTTCTGGCACTACGGGCTTAGCGTGTGGAGACAGCGCACTGTGGCCTTTGTTTTCTCTGTTGGCAAATGCTTCGATTCTCCAGGGCTTAGCCTCATAGTCCGGTGGTCGCTCTGGTTTCGCTTGGCGAGAGATCGCTTACCCGTTGTAAACTTGGGGGAAGACCAGCTGCCTCTCGCCTCTTTTTGGATATAAAGCAGGCGAGGCCTCATGCGGTCGACAGGAACAGCCACATCCCTCTTGGCTGCGAGCCTCGATTGCCTTCCGGCCCGAGGATGGAGCTCATCTCCAGCCTTGTGGAGTACTACGCCAGGAACAACCGGTTCCCCGAGGCGCTGAATGATGTTGGTGCTGGTGCCCCTGTTTCCTGACGTTCATGCGCTTACCCCATCGTTTTGTCATAGTGCTCGCTTCTGTCAAACTTCTTATACGCTCTTCCTTGAGTGTCCAAGTAGTTCAGTGGCAGCCAGCACATGCCCGCTTGTTTAGTGGGTTCGCCACTAGAAATGTAGTCAAGCAATTAAATTTCCTTTGCGTTGAGTGGTTCCTCGCGAAAGAAGACAGCACTAGTCGGACCAGCCGAAAAGGGTTCCTTTTTCCAAGCGTTCAGGTAATGATGTGCAAGCATGTCGGTCGCGTGCAGGCAGAGGCGCTGCTGCAGTCGAAGATCAAACGCTGCGAGGACGTCTATGGCAAGAACTCCGTGCCTCGACATGGGTCTGTCTTTTTGGGAGGCTGCCCCTTTCTGAGTGTGTGTTAAAGGGAAACAACCGGGTACCCCAACAAACCAGGGGGTTCGCGTTGGTTCCGCTTCAAACAACTCGGAATGGCATCCGGAGACAAGATTCTCACTGCTCAAGGTTCTAAAGCACTTTCCTGGTGTACACCTGATTTCATGCCTAACTACTAGCGGTAGCCGGCCTTATATAGGATGGTTTGTTTGCTCCGTCTATGTGGGTAGCTCAACCGTAGGCCCGGTGGCATAGTTGGTTTTGTGTCCTCATGCCTGCTCGAGCTATAGTCAACCAGACCTAGCCTATGATAACACGCTTGAATTAGGAGAATCATCTTGCAGGACTCGTTCATTTTGGCCGCAGAAAGTCCATACGGTTAAGATAGCCAAAGGGCCATGGATCAATGGATGAGTTTCAGGTCGCTGCTTAGAAGGCCTGATTAGCATTAACTTCCCCAACTGGGTGTGGGCGCTTGGCGTGCGTGCGTGGTTGTTTGTGTGCACACTTTCAGGACCGTTTGTAGGCGAATTTGTGACTTGACAGACGAGACTGACATGATTCGCACTTCTAGATGAAGGCTGACTCCAAAATACGAAACCGACAACGACGGAGTCATTGATAAAGGGCCCTCACAGGCAGTGGTAGGGGTGCGTTCTGTTACATATTTGCGGATCACTATAGCCAGCAATGTCCAAGAGAGACACAACTAACTCCTGGCTTCCATTCGAAGGACCCCATTCGGCTACAGAAAAGTCATAGAAGCGACCGCTTCAAGTTTGCTGCTTGTTTGCAAACAGTGGTGCGGGTGAATCTCGAAAGCCTGCCAGCACCACTGCAACCTCAGGTCCCAAATATAAGATGTCGCACTTTTTGCTCGAGTATTCTGTATTTTCTGGCCGGTGGAATCATTCTTGCTGGTTTTTAGGAGAGAATGACCCCTGTGGCCTTTGAACCATCCCTTGTGGTTTCCTTTAAAGGTACCCCTCTCCTTTCCGAGCCCCATTTTGCTTCCCTGACCAGCAAGAAATCTGTCTCCTGTCAGCCGACTTGCCAGGCTGTGGTCATGAGCTTCTCTGAAGATTTGGCTATCCTGCTGGACGGGCTGACGGGGTGGTGGGCGCGGAGTTTGTCCCCCAGTTGTTCAGCGCCTTCACCACTGAACGCCTTGTTCCTCCCATCTCTGGGACACTTCCTCAAAAAGGTTCTCTTGTTTCAGTGTCACATGCAATGTTTATTTCCAGCGAGATCTCATAAGCAGTACCTTTCTGCCGGCTGCAGCGAGCATACCCTGCATACACTCCGAGTGCGTGATAGCTCGTTTTGAGCTTCGCCGCAGCGACTTATACACAGTCGATGTTCCGAAAAGTGGACCGTTGCGTTTAAAGTTCGATGACATATCATGCACTGGGCGATTTGCACATCTGATTTTATCCGTTGAATTGCGGGTGCTCGTGTTGAATGTATCCAGAGGGTTATGATCTGGAATCCTATGGCTGAACCTTGGGGCAAGCGGGGTACAGGTAGGAGTTAAAGAAAGCATCATGTCGATTCTCATGCTTTGCCTGGACGGGAAGCGGAGGCTGGGCCAAGATCGACTTGCTGAATCCAGTGTTTGGACTCCAGACTTCACGAAAAGTTTTACAAAAAAGGCAGAGATTGTGGACGACGTCTTGTTCTGTGTCCTTTACGGTTTGGTCAGTTCACGTATTTGTGCGATCCGTGGTTGTATCAGAATGACAGACTCATCTGTTTTTTTGTTTTCCTTTTCAGAACATGGTCAGGATCTCAGGGAAGTCAGGCAGTCTTGCAGTCAAGTGCATCCTCCGCGCAGGAGAATGCCGGAGACATGGACCGGTCTGAGGACATGTTCCGTCACGTGTTGACCGTTCGGAGGCTGGGAGCGGGTGTGTTTTTCTGCAGGGCGAGCAGCGACTAGCCATGGAGTAACCGGTGAGAGGCGAATATCAGACCACAACCAGAGAGGTTCTATTGTAGGGCTTCTCATTTTGAGTGAGCTGAAACGGGGTAGAACAAGCTTTCGCGGCATGTTCTTTCGGCATCCCTTTTGGCTTCGGGAGCCCACCTTGTCAGAGTGGCTTCAAGCCTGAGGCCTCGGAGTAGCCAGACAGTCCACCTGCCGAGCTTCGCTGCGTTTCAGATTGTACCGGACGTGCCCCGAGATTCTTGAAGCCCAGGCAAACCATGGCAAACCTTCGCAATGATTACCCGGAATTAGAATGCAGCAGGTAAATCGAGGGCATGTTTTCACCAGCTTGCAATCTGTGAACGGAGATGGCTGTAACATCAGCAGGTTCAAAGACTTGAAGCTGCTATGGGAAGCTGCTCCAGGTCTGTTGCAAGGCCTGTTCAACATGCCTCGCATTGCCCATCGCAATTGTTTATGCTCCGACCTTGAGGCTACGCTCCGAGGCGCAGAACCATTAGACCATTAGCAGACCTTTCTAGATGTGGGGTTGATCAAAAGCTCCTTTACATGGGATGACCATTGGGGGAAACCACTAAGAAGATGAGGTTTCCCACAGAAAAGTACCTGACTCTCGTCCTTGCAGGCTTGCCTTGGGCCCGGAGCACGAGGACACTTTGCGGCGCCCTGGCGTGAGCACATCTTGTTCCAATGGTAGTGATGTTTAGAACGTGTATCACACCGTGTATCATTGATGAAAGGGGCTAGGACAAGAAATTGGTGATGAGCGCAGGTGACAAATGGGTGTAATTTTTTTGTGGTACCCTGTTTTGGTGGTTTTAACCGAAAACCCAAATGGAAACCAACGCCATTCTGGTGGGTCCAACCTCAAAAAAGGACATGTCGAGCACGACTGGAGGTTGACGTCAAATTTTCCCCTGACGTCAGGTCCATGTCCAACTTGGCTGTGCTTCTGGAGCGTACTGGCCGCGGAGAGGAGGCGCGACCTGGGATTGGGTGTGTTTGTTTTGGGTTGGTACCCCTTTTTGGTTGGTTTTAAAGGGACAGCAAAAGGAAAACTACCATTTTCGGGGCCCCCTGCAAAAGAGACACCCAAATGGATCTGGAAATTGATGTTGCCAAATATTTTCGCAAAGCTCGCAGACATTGGCTTGGGCCTTGCTTTTGCCAGGGCTAGTGCTAAGTTTTGCACCAGCGGTGTTTGACAGGGGCTTCGCCCTGGCAGCGAAGCTTTTGACGTGATAACTGCAATTCTGCTTTTGCTGTGTCATGTTTAAGTGTTTGATGTTTTGCGACTGCTTGTATTCTACGAACAATGCCAGCAAACTGCAGGACCTGCGGGCGGGGTCGTCAATGTTACTGACGAGGGAAACGGAAGACTTCACGCAGGTTCAGTCTAGCAGCATGGGTCATGCCTGCTGGCTGTGAGAATTGTGTGACTACATGACAGGCTTCCACATGGTACAACAGCTAATCTACAAGTTGATGTCTTCTTTCAAGTGGAGTGGTATGTGGGCCTTTTCATTTTGCTGGAGTCCAAAAGAAAACATATTAACAAATCAGATCGTCCACACGTATCTCAATTCAAGAGCCATGGGGCTTCTGGTGGTCTCTGAACGTAGGTGTACTGTACGGGTACTGTGCAGGTACAGTACGGGCACTGTGCGGGCACGGTACGGGTACGCTACGGGCGCGGTACGAGTACGGGTACGGAATGGCTATGGCACGGGTCCTCCGTACTGTTTTTTGCACAACTGGTTGTGTTTTTTGCAATTAAATTGGTTGTGTTTTTTTTGGTACGGGTAATTGCGGGGGTACGGGTTCGGGGTACGGGGGTCGGGGTGCAGCACCCTATACCCGTCCTGAACCCGTACCGTACCTATACTGCCCTGTGCCATACCGTACCCGCACCGTACCGTACCGTGGGGACAGTAAAGGATTTCTGTCAAGTCTTTTTGTGTCAGTCTTCAGGACTGCTAAGACAGGCAACGGCACCGACAATGTGCAAACAGCTCTTTTTCGGCAGCCGTATTTTGTGTAGTATCATCTTTGCAGCGGCAACTACGGTCTGCAACAAAGCCTGCATTTGATTGTTTGTACTGTGTCGTTTTTCCTCGAGAAATTGGAACTGATTCATCCAGCCCGATTGTTCGATCTAGAGGAGTCCTCTTCAGGCAGTTGATCCAGAATATTTCCAGGGAACCTAGTGCATTTGATTGAACGGGCTGCCCCCCTGCCATCTTTTTGTGTGTCCGAGGCATTGAAGCTTTACGAGAAGTGCCAGGCTGGCAGAACGAAGGCACCGGGGGCGCACCGGTCGAAAGGCAGTGAGGCCAGGAAAGGCACAGGTAACTGTTTAACTTACCTGAGTTCCAGGGCTGGGAGTGCAAATTGCGGGAGGTGTTGCACTGATTTGGCAGCAATCTGATTGAGATATTGAGGCCGCACGTGTCCAGTGGCTCAAGCCTTAGCCAAAACAAGCCATCAGCCCTGCGATTCTCGATGCCACGATCAATGCCACGGTGGGTGGGAGGGATCGGCTTGATCACTTTGCTATGGCGCTGCCTCATGTGCAGTCAAGGCGCAGACACCCGAGCGCTGGTGCAGTTTTTGATTCCGCGACGCCCTGACACACATCCCCTCACTGTGAAGGATGGGCTGTTCGAGCGCGACGACCCAACGAACTTCCTCACTCTCGGGACCACGGGTGTCGGCAAAAGTTCGTTCTTGAACTGCCTGCTTGGAGATGTCTTGCAGCAGTGCCGCGAGGTTGTTGGAAGTTGCATACACAAGCACAAGCATGGTCAGCACGTAGTACACCATGCAATCCCGCGTCAAACATGAGCGCAGAACCCCATGGCAAGAAGCTCTGCGTTCCCAAGCTCACTCACGGCCACGGAGGGGGCGGGAGACAAGAAACAGTGGCGAAAGCGCGCGAGCGGCCTTGCGGACTAGGCTGTTCGTTTATCTGGGCCAAGAGGCGCAATGCACAAAGCAAGCGGCAAAGTGCAAAGCACGCAGTGGCATCTGCATCTCTCTTTGGATTACGGGCGCCACACATGTCTCTCCATGTCTCCCTTCTCCCAGCTTTGCACGCCCTGTTTCCTGCTGGCATAAGTGCGAACGAGGGTTTGACCAAAGGTCACTCCGCGCAGAAAGTGGGAAAGCACCGATTCATTGATACCCCCGGCATGGGCGACGCGAGTCTGCGTGAGAGGGCGTCACAAGAGATCACGGAGGCATTGAAGCAGAACGGGCGGTACAAGGTCATTTTCATTCTCACGCTTGATTCGGGTCGTTTGCGGGAGGACCAATTGAACACCATGAAGCTAATACTGGACTCCGCCCCCATCAAGAAGTACGGCGTGCTGGTCAACAAGCTTTCGAAGAAAGCCCACGACAAATTCAGTCCAAGGTCGATCGCGTTCGAGGATATGGTCCAAATCATCGACCAGAACATGCCAAATCGAAAGAAGATGCGTCCGCAACATGCGCACCTTGTGCGCGATGACTCTCTGCTAGAGGATGCAAGTAACAAGGTTGTGGCATTGCCCGAAGAAACGGTCCAGTTCATGAAGTCTCTTCCTTCTGTTCAGGCCAGCGTGTGGCACGAGCAAATTCAGTCGCTTGAGATGGAGGTCAACAAAACCAAGGCCAGACGTCGTCGGGTGAGAGGACAGATGATGTGGGTGGCGAAGCTCCTCCTTTTTCCGGCGTTCCTTAGAGCAGCCTCCAATGCAGTCAGGCCCAAGATAGCTCTCCTGGCTTAATCCCCCTTAGTTCCGGCCCGTTGACCAAGTCAACCTGTCCGCAGAGAAGAGACACGTACCTGAATCTTCAGGTGTGCATTTTTCCCGCCGATTGCTCGGTATGGATCTGTCCCAGATCGAGACGTAACAAAGTGAAAAGTGCATGGAGACACAAAAAAGTGCTGTTTGGTTGAAAAAGCAGCTTCTCACGAAAATGATGAACAATTCACACTTTGGAAGCTCCAGGTATTGATGTATATAAATAAATATACATTATACATTAAACATATATATATACACATACTCTCCATATAATATATGCAGTACGGATGCGAGTCAATTTGTGAGGTCCGGAACAAACCCACATTCGTTCTAGACCGTTGTTCCAGACCTTCGTTCCAGACCTTGGCTAGAAACATGTTCCAGACCTTTTGTTCCAGACCTGTTTTGAGCAATTGCCAGGTTGGAGTACTGACTCAGGTTATCATGTCCTTGGGTGTTTCCCCTAGTGCATGCAGGAGTAGGTGGAATGCTTGATTTTCTGTGTTTTGCCAACTGTGTTTGCAAGCAGGCCTGCAGCAACCATGGCTCCAGAGCACACGCCGCAAAGGAAAGGGCGCAGCGATGGAGTCGCGAAAGGGTTGCCAAAAGGAAGTGTTTTCTCACACTGCTTGCAATTCCAAACATCCAAGCCAGTCGCATAACTGTTCCAGACCACATGCCTCATGTAAGCTTCTCACGCGGGTCAAGTGCAAGAAGCCTTCGCTGTGACCACTCACAGTGGTGCTGCGCCGCAACCATGTCACACCTTCCATTCAGCCTTGGGCCGTCAGCACTCGGGTTCACCCTTGTGACGTCAGGAGGTTGGTGACTACAACCTGCAAAAGTTATCGGCGCCAGCGTTCTATGCACACACTTTGGTCGCCCCTGCTCGCCTCATTCGTCCATTCATCCATTCACCCACCCACCCTTCCATTCATGGGCTCCACATGTGTTCCCAATGGGTCCGGAACAACGCCCCTTGCGTATCTGACTCGTTCCAGACGTCCGCGTCACCGCGGAACGTTCCACACCAGAATGTTGACCCACACCCATGTGAATATTTATATATACTGGTAAGTTGTGTACTTCGAAATAATGCAATCTGATGGGGCGTCCCTTACTCCAGCTGGTTGTTCCGCTTCGCCTTGTTGCCGCGTCAAGTGTTCGGAAGGTAGATGCACTAGCTCCTAGACCATTTGTATCCATTTGTTTGAAAAGCTGGTTGCAGAATAAGGAATCCACGCGGACCTGCCATCTTCAACCATAAATGAAACCCACATACCCCACTCCCTGGACTGAAACATGGAGTTCTGAGCATTTGTCTCACGCTCTCGGTCCCACGCGCATATTCGGGGCCTGGGTGCGACCTTCCCTCACCCGTAGGAACGGGGTGGGGGTGCCACTTTATGCCCGGGAACACCGAAATCTAAGATAGTTTCCACTACCCCGAAACCACCACCCCCAAGGCAAAATGGAGTAAATAAGCCTGATATAGCCACTATATAAAGGTTACACATGCAATCAGGGAATGGTTTGGGGGTGATAAACACCACCAGCTTCGTCTAAGAATTCAGCCCAGCCACCCAATTCGCGCAAGCCTTTTTTTGGCGCAGGTCTTTGGCCCCACACACGCCAAGACCCTGGAGAGCACCATTGGCCTGGCCGCCGGGAAGCACAGAAAAGGGCACCGGCGTTGCGCCTGAAGGGCAAACTAGAGCGAGCCCGGGGGGTAAACGACTCCATGATTTGGGGTTCCCTTTTTGCCAGGTCGGGAAGGCTGGCGAGCCCAGAACAATCGGTTGAGGGAAGCTTGGCTCAACGGCCACACGCACACAGAAGATTCTTGAAAGCATTTCTGCGACATTTCTTCCAGTGATTCATTGAATCGAAAGGCTCTTGGATTCCTCATACTCCTCAAGAATGAACCTACACATGGGTTGCGTGTAGACAACCTCTTTCCAATGGACGTGGACAGAAGGGGCTGGACCAAAAAAAAACATCCTCTTCAAACAAGCGCCTGTCCACTTCCGCGATTGTTGGAACTGGTCGTGGTGGTATATGTGGTTGTCTGCCTGGCCCAGGCAGAGTGTCTTTTTTGACAGAGACCAATACATCAAGTACAAAACACGCATCAGTGGAGTTTGCAAAGATGTGCATCCTGGCTGGAAAAGTTTGTGAGACCAGGTAACACATTGCGAATGCACAAAGTGTTGGCATCAGAGGGGCCAGTTGAAATCGCTCGCAGACAAAAGGCTTCCCGCAGCGGAGCAGGGACAGGGCGACATGGTGATCCAATTTGTGTTTGCACACGGGCGGTATTACTTCAGCTAGGCTTGACCTCGGGAGCCTCTTTTTTGGCGCAAAAGCTTGGCCCTATCATTCCAAGATTGGACCTCACTGTCATGCTTTCAACCTGGGGGGCCCATGTTTTGGAGCCAGTTCCGGGCTCCCAACCCCTTGCAGATGAAAAAAGGGCCTGCCAGGTCTGCCTCTCAGATGTGGAACGCACCACCGAGGCTTTGGGATCCGCCATGATCCGCACACCCAGGGCGATTTCAACCTGGTTTCATAGGGGGTAATTCTCGGCCAGATACCCTGAATATTGGTCTTGGTACTGCATTTCAACATGGTTTCATGGTGGAGGGCAGGTGGAGGGTAGTTCTTGGCTAGATACCTTTAATCGACTTGGTGGAACAGAACGCCGGTGGATTTTGGAGGCGTTGGTGATTTGACCCACCGGCAATACCAGGATTTTGCCCCCGTTTGCTATTCCCGCTCTTGCCAACCCTGTCCCCGCTTTTTTGTTGCCCACGTGTGTTGAAGTGTAAGGTAGGATTTAGTTGGCCGACAACGCTGTCGCTCCCTCATAACTTGATACTTGTTGATTGTTCAAACCATCGGGCGGGTCCCACACCACCTTCCAAATTTGGCTTGTCGTCCATGCCTTTGCGTCAAAATACGGTTTCCAACTGTTGCGTTGCCTTTGGTTTTCCTCGCAAACTACCAACGGCCAGTTTTCTGTGACACACTTAATACTGAGGCATTGGGAGATCCCTTTCCTTTGGAAAGTAGGTCCACATGGCACTGAAGGATAGGCCGCCAGCTCGGATTCCCAGCTCAAGAATGCCGTACAATTTGTTCCAAGTGGATTTTTTGCCGGCCAACACTAGGTGAGTGCCCAACATGCGCGACATGTCCTGCGTTTGAAGATAAATCACTTCCCCCCGAAAACCCCTGCCTCACACCAGGTCTCCAAGTTGCAAAACGGCCGCGAAGAATTCAGGGACACTGTGGATGGACGAAATCCTGCACCACTTGGAAACCATGGGAAACCATTGTTGGTTGGTATTTACAGGGGAGAAAGCGTTCCAGGGTTTTCTGGGTGGTGCAGAATTTCGTCCACCCAGAGTAACTCCAGGCAATGCGCAGGTCAACAAGTAGTCTTCGACCCAAAAACAAACTCCTTTTCGATCTCACAGAAACTGGAGCCCCCTGTCAAGGCCTCTTTTAGCAAGGTTCATGTGGGTGTGTCTTTTTTGTGGCACCTTCCGGTTTGAAAGGGAAACCAACAGAAAAACCACCATTTTGAGGGTTCCCTAAAAAAAGAGGCACACCCGTGTTGGTGTTCCGGCATGGCGAATCTTCCAACGTCCATTTGACTCGCGAGGCAGAGACCGTGTTGACTGGAGTCCTGGCTGCTGTCTCAGAGTGGCGAACGACAGCGCAAAGGAGATGCGGCTGTGTCTGTTGTTTGAAAGCTTTACTATCAGAGCTCTTATGAAGCTGGATGCTTATTTCTTAGCTCAACACACATTCATGTTTTTGGGTGTGGTTTGCTCAATTAGTTGGTGAGTTTATATTTGAGATGCCTGAAGTGATGTAGCATAGTTCACGCCCGTTTTACATAGCGCATTCATGTGATCATCTTTTTAGGAAACAGAATAAGCAACCAACCATAGATATTGACCATGTGCCAGCTTAAGTGATTAACACACGGGTTCGGGTACTCAATCACCACCATACACACTGTGTTCAGTGTTTGGTGCTCCTTTGCCACGCGGAGACTTGCGAAGAGTCTACGAAACATGGACTGCCGCACCCCTACCTCTCTCCAAAGCTCCTGCTCACTAGCGCGCATAGGCATCGCTCAGTACTTCTTTGCAAGGGCGCCTACAAGGCTGAAGACAAGCTGACCGCTTATCGAGCTACGACATCGCCAGATGACCACTGCGATCACCGTCACGGCGCAGGACCCTTCTTAGCTAAGGCCGACTCACTTTGGGCTTTGGAGCTTTCAGCGGATCCGATGTCACTGGCCCGTGGCAATGATGCATACGTTGCAAATGGGCATGCGACCACACATTTCAACTACAACTAATCTTGACAATGTCGATCATGGTGCGGGCTCGGCTCAAAGACGGAGTGTGTAATGGTCAGGGCATAGCCTTTGTTGGTGCTTTGGCAGATGCCTTGGAAGCCGCATCGCCTTTTGCTGCGGCTGCGACAGAAATGCTGTCAAGGTGAAGGCATGTGGGGGAGAGGTGAGGCGATGCGGCTTTCCTTCTCAGATCTGGCTCATTCTTGGGCTGGGCCGCGCGGTTCCTTTTCGCGGCTTCATCTCTCAACCCAACCCTCGCTTCGCCTCCTTCGCATGTTTGCTGCGGCCGCCCGCAGCTTGGCTGCGCTTCCTGTTTAAAGCCGGAGAAAGCGACGAAGGCTCGATGGAGCTTCGAGTGTCCGCGAAATGTTTGCGATGCAGGACGGGAGTTGCCTGGGCATGTTGCTGAGCAAGGCTGAGTCGCGGCCATCTCAATACACATGCTGGTGTGTGTGTGTGTGTTTTTGTTTTATTAGTTTGCGCGCAGCCGCCGCTGCAGCGGAACGAACGCGCTGGTATGGTTTCAGGGCGGGCGTTGCAGTTGAGACACCCTGACCAGGCAACAAAGCCCAGTCTCTTTGGCACGAGCTTCTTGTTTCCTGGGTGCTTTGGTCCCCTGTGAGGGAAGGCGCTCAACTGCTAAGCCGGACCGAGCCTATCTGCTCTAACCCCGGCCGCAAGATGGTGGCAAGGCGGGCACCTGCGTTCGAAGCCGACCAAAGTATCAATCGCCCGAGCCCACACACCTGAACCTGCCCATCACAAAACAACCCGCATTAAGGGCCTGCACCTACCACCCCGAACTTACCATAGACTTGTCATAAAACCGCATGAAACGTACTTTGACACGGCAGGAAAGGCACACCAAAAGCGCCAGAAAACAAACCCTCCTTTTTTCTTCTTCGAAGCTGGCTGTCTCAAAAACAAAACTCTGTGCGGCCTTTGCGCATCAGGACTGCGCCGAACATAAAGAAGGCAGATCTTTGGCTTTCTTTTTACCAATGCCTCAAGCAAGGCTAGGCCGTGTGAGTCAGCGTGCTTGACTTGAGCGTCGTGTCCATCAAAGATGCGCCTTTGGTTCCTGGAAGAAGCTTGCCAGTTTGCTCAACGCCCATTTTTGTCAATGCAGTCTCAAAGCCAACCCCTTAGTTTGCCCATTTTGAGGCAACCGACTTTCAATACTTCAATGATCTTGGAAATCGTAAGCACACATGTGGTGCAAGACTGCAGAAATATGTCTAATGCTCCCAGGCCGAATTGGAAGCGCAGAATTATCACACTGACCACGAGTGGGTGCCGCACTCAACCGCGGATGTTGAGTAAGTGTAGCTGTTCCAAGATGTCATGTCATGGAACTCTTCCAAAAAGTAACATCTTCCAAGAACAACAACGTTCCGGTTCCTTTAATTTGCAAGAGTTTATCATCTAACAGGTGTTGTTGTATGGGCTATCAGGTTGACGCACCTGTGAAAGTTTGTTCCATCCAGGTCGGCGAGCACGAGACCAACGGAACACTTGACGGATTTGAAACACCCACGGCGTATCACGGAATACTTGAGATGCTTGGTCATTGGGATCTCGTCGGTCCCAGATTCCAGTCCGTGTTGAGCAACTAGCCCTGGATTCACAAGGTCTCTCGCTTGAGGATCTGTGTCAAGCACGCGAAGGGTATCGATGGCTGAAATGTTTGGCTTGTTGTTTGCCCGGGCTGGTGATAGGAAAGGTTGCTCCGGCTGGGGAAAGCCGGCTCCGTTTGCAAGGGGACAATTTGTTCTCTTGTGCCAGGGCCTTCGGTGCACCCTTGATGGATGTTCCCGCGCAAGGTATGCGGTGAAATGACCAAAACAGCCGGCCTGGGTTGCCAACAGTTTTGAATTAAATGAGGTGTCTGGTGTTGGTTTGCGTCTAATCAGGAAGGCCCTTCAAGTTCCCAATTGAAAGTTGCTTCATGCATGTGTCATGCTGCCGCCGTGTGCTTCCTCAAGATTGTTTCATGAAGATCGTGCCGAAAACAAACAGACATGATTGTCAGGCTTTAACGGAACAGGGAGCCGAATATCTCAACAGCTTTTGCCATGGCATGACCGGAGAAAAGCCAGACCCCGTTTGAATTCATCTTGGATTCCCGCAATTACTTTGGTACTGTGAATCTTGGCCTGGTTTATCGAATATGTAACTAATTTCAGTTCTTGTCTTCACAGGAGACAAACTTACAAATTACTTTTGAGTGACCAGCACCCGAAAGTCTAAGTAAGAAAAACTAGAGTGGCCAAGTGCCGACAGAGGATGCATGTGGTCAGTCATTTGGAGAACTTGGTCATTTACTTGTCGCTGAGAACGGCGACCAATACGTCTTGAGTTACTGCCCGCGATTAAATCACTTCGAAGGCCTTCATTGATCCTTCGGAAGAAAGAAGTCAGGCATCTCATTGCCAGTCCCAAGTCTTTTTATACAAGCCTTACCTTCGACTTCTATTCCTGGAAGCCCTTTTTTTTGTATGCGCTTGCTGCAATCCCTCAAAGGCCACGGCAATTTGTTCAGCCCAAATCGCGGGACACCGGGAGCCGCGACTCAGTTTCTGATCTGCTTGGACAAGCTCGGAGAACTGGCAAAGGTCCATGAGGATATCAGCCGCGCCGAGGCATCGGAGGGATGATCGCAAGTCAGGGGATGGCGGGGGGGGGGGGAGCAGGCGCAGTTGGGAGAGGGGGAGGGTTGTCGATTTGGTGGGTTGATTGCTACAAAACAGTCTCAACCCCCAACATGGGTTCCTTTTTGCTACGAGGGTTTTTGGGCAACTGGGGGAAACTGGTGTTGTTTAAGGTTGTTGGCCTTGGCTTTTGGTGAGCACACCATCCACATGTAAATGCTGTTCAGGGAACAAGCTATCCATTGTCATCACGCGACGCCGGAACATGCGAACAATGTTTAAACATCATCATGAAGCTGGGGTAGAGGGAGGTTTCTTTGAATCAATAGGATAGGGCTTTCTATTTGCAGACCTGTCTAATTTGTGAGGTGGCACTTGACCATTTGCATAGAGGAAACGGTTTCCTTATGTGAGTGATGACACAATAATCGTTCAGCTTGTTTGATTTGCTAGCCTGCCCGGAAAGCTTAGAGCCATGACACAACCAAGACTCGAACTGCCGGTTCGGATAGCAAATTTGGACGTTCTTGACCCATGGAGGCTTATCAATTCTTTTTTGGCGTCTCTTCGGCACAAGTCGGCAGTATGGAACGTGCGTCATGTTTTTTGCAACTGCCCCTAAAACAGAATTGTCCATTTGGAAGCTTGACAAGTCTGACAGCCTTTGGATGTCGGCGCCAGGAGATGTTCCGTCGCAGCTATGAGGCGCGCTTGGTGACTGGTGCTCCGGCCCCTTCACAACTTCCACTTCTGGGACAGTGCAAACCAACTCCTTGCGAGGCTTTTGGGCTGGCACCAAATAGTTGGAACTTTTTCATAGGCGTTGCCGTGCATGTTGTTCTCTGCAAATTCAGCTGAAATCCGCCCACGTGATGGGCGGTCGCTTTGCTAGGCCCGAGCAGCATCGAAGAATAGCCAGGCGCGAATACGGACACCCGGGCGAAGAGGGAGATCCGGGGAAGTTACTTTTTTTGGTGGTTGCTCCATTTTTGTCAAACAAGCAGATACAACAGCAAGCATCCATGTTTGCCAGTGCCAGCCAACAAACACAGAGTCACCTGTGACAAGCCAACAGTTGGGTGACAAGGAGAGAAGGTCACCCACAAAGGTGCATGTCCATGTTACCTGGCAATGCTTGCCAAGGGCAGATTCTCTGGTAGCTCGCCTTCACAGGAGCACACTGAACAGAAACCTGAAAGAACAGCTGGAAATGTGAGTTTTGGGCACTAGACTGTCGGAGTGGAAAGTCTTCGGAGCGCGGTTGCCTGGTTTCCCTCCAAAATTTACAAACAACCGGATGTGCCCATTTTTTGGGAACCGCAAAAACGGAGTTCGGTTTACCTTTTTGTTTCCCGCACCAACCACAACATCCATACTGTAAGATGGTTTCTCTACCCCCGAGCAGGACACAGAGATCGCGAACTCCGCCTACAACTTGGCGGTTTGCCTGGCCCAGCAGGCGTTGCGTTTGGGCCATTGGGGAATCTGCGTTGCTTTTTTGTTTGGACGTTGTTTGCTGAGTTGATTTGCTGTTTGACCTTTTTGTGGGTTTGGAGGTTTAGATTCAGCTTGGCTCTTAATGGGCTTCCTGGTTGCGGTTATTGGGTTGCCGGGTCCAACATGTTACTGTAGCCGCCGGATCGAGGCCAAAGGCCACAGGCCCATTGATCATTCGGTATCCATCGCCCGGGAATATGGACAGCCGAATTGGTTTGGGCGGCCTGATGGAGATATCATTATGAAAACATGTGTTCTGATTGTTTCTCATACTGAACGTGTCCCCCGTTACGGTTGTTGGACAGGCGTCTCTCCCTCTCCCTCGCACACGCACACACATATAGACACACACACACACCGGCACACACCGACACAACACGCAACACAAACAAAACACCATACTAAACCAAACAAAACTACACCAATCCAAACCAAGCAAACAAGCAGGCAGGCAAGCAAGCAAACAAGCAAGCAAGGAAGCAACCAGACAATCACAAACAAACTAACAAACAGCAACACACACACACATACAAACAAACAAACAAGCGCCAACAACAAAACAATCAATCAAACAACCAAGAAAGACAGGCAGCAGACGGACGGACGGACAGACGGACAAGCAAACAAACAGAGAAGCAGACAAACGGCCAAACACGCAAACAGTCAAACAGGCAAACAGACACAAACACACCTACGAACGCAGTACGAGATGACGCCATCCATGCGTGGACCCACTGGTACTTTTCAGTGATGCTTGTCGGACATGTTCAATGTTTATCCTCCGCGTCCTACCTCACCTGTTACCAGTTGCCCTGCCTCTTTGTTGACTTCCACCACTTGTTGCCACAGCCGGGCCCCGCATCATGGCAATGTCAGCAGGACGAGGGTTGGCAAGCGTGGTTTCGTGGCAGAAGGGATGAGATTTGTGTTTTTTGTGTTTCCTTTTTTTCCGGTGCAGTGGCAATTGACCATGCTCAGCTTCTCACTGTCGGCCTTAAAAGTTGTTTGGCCTGGATTCCGGCTGATGTTTATCCAAACAGTATGGGTATGGGTCAAAAGGAAACAGTATGGGTATGGGTCAAAATGAAACTACTAGGGGACCTCAGGTTTTGGTCCTTGGTTCCATTTACCAGGGTTCCATTTTGCGAACCTGACTCACAGCCATATATGGTCATCATACGTGGTCCAGCGACGCAGTTCTTGACAGGGCCGAGAGCGACAAGCTGAGCCCAGCTTCCGCAAAGCCGTGGAGGTGCCGAGCGGTCCGAATTGTGGCATCCCCCAACATGGGCATGGTGGTCAAAAATGGGGTAACCCCAAAATGGGCTGGTCTGGTAAAACGAAATAAGGACTCAAACCTGCGGTTTTCTGGTGGCTCCAATTTTGACCCATACCCATATTAAGATCGAAGTTTTAGTTTGCTGCGACTACAATACAGATGATGTTTGAGCATGTTTGAACACAGAGTGAAGTTCACACATCCTTTCACAAAAGAGAATGCATGGGTTGTTTACCCCACTTCCTTCCGCCCTGAAATTTGCAAGCAGAATTGGACAGCTTGATTGACCACTGACCACAATTTTGACCCTTCAATTGGCTTCTACCGAAGGTCGCCAATATCCAATGAGGGGGGTTTTGTTGCAAATTAATCGCTTGATGTCGCTTGGCAACGTAACTTGTTCAATGTGTGGCTGTGTCCCCAGCTGAACAGTATCGGGTGCGAAGGAAAGCCTGATTGCTGAGGACTTGACAGCTGGGCAGATCAAACATGAAATTAACGAATTTCGACAAAAAGGATCTCTTCAAGAAACCCTGATCAGGTCGACCCTCTCAAAGGCAAGATGAAGTACCCAGAGCACGTGTAAGATGCAAGGCAGCAACATGCTTCATGTTGGACCTGGCTCATTTTAGACATTATTCTCGTGTATTGTGTTTGGCATTCGTTTGGTTGGTGCCATTGGGCAGGTGAACGTTTTGCATTTCATGTTGTGTGTTTTGTAGTATTGCCTTGTATGTTGCTCGCGGATTTTAGGCCTTCCGACCTTTGAGCACGATTTCCCAACATGAGGACTATCCCAGCAGGTTGCACATAGCATGATTCTCTTCATGAATGGAAACTGGTGATGTGGGAACTGTTTTGCATCGTTCATGCCTCCCTGGGTGTCTCAGTAGATTTCACAAGTAAGCTTTGAGTCAAGCTAGAGGGCTTTTCACTGGTTGGCCAATTTCGAATCGTTCGGTCCATTTTGAGGGCCAAATTGACCACCTTCTACCGTACTACCGGAGTTCTGTTCATTCTACCCGTTTGTGTTTGGTGCGCAAGGGATTGCACAGGGACCTTGCAGCTTGAACTAGCAATCCCCTCGTGCATAAGTTGTTTGGTTGTGCTGAGCTGTGCTGGAACTTTAGCAGTGTCCTGTTATGACATTGCTTTCATGGTGGTCAGGGTTGGTGTAAACATCCACCCCGCTGACGACATATATTTGGTCCACGACTTTGGTCCAGCAACGCATTGGTCCGCAGGCCTATACCCGTGCCTTCGGGCATGATGATACATACACGCCGCTCGGCTTGCAAGAGGAAGGACCGTCACATTCCTGATTGCTGTGCTCAAGGCTGCTTGTGCGCATCTCGCATCTTGATTTGTACATGTGAATGTGGCGCGCACACGCACACACACAGACACACACCCATGAGCGCATGCATGCACCCGCCCGCCCGGCCGCCCGCGCCCGTGCCCGCCCCCAGACCGAAACCCACCAACTCACCCACACATGAACGCACACACGCAAGCCCACACGCAGGTATTGACGATTTGTTGCTACTTTGCCACCTTTTATGAATGGTTCAAGAGAAAAAGTGGACTGATTGCAGGGACTTCCATAATTTTCGGATGCACTGCCCCAAAGAAGTGGTGAAGCGAGAAAGGTGTCTCGCTCGCGGGTCTGAGGGACACCACTGACATATACTGACATGTTTACAGCGGCGGATGGCAGTCACAACACTTGCACCACTATCCGGGCTGTCCATGTGGCCTTTGGGGCAAAAGAGGCACCCATCTTCCATGGAGGCCTTGCAAGGCTGGGTGGTAAACAGGTCTTCAGGTCCACGCCATGCCCGCTGGCTCAAGATTTTGACAGGCTGAGGCAACTGGAAGAACCTGACCGTTTCTTGGCGGGTTTTCAGGGTCACATCCAAGATGATGGCCTTGCGGTTCCTGCTGCTGCTTCCGCTGGCGCTGGTCAGGGGCCAAACTGTTCAAGTGGATGGCAGTGGCACGACCAACCCCTCCAAGTTCTTCTGGAAGCTTATGGAGATGATGGGCAGGTGGGAAGCAACATGCACAGCTCAGCGGATTATCTTGTTGTAGGATTGTTCCGCACAAGAAATGGACAAGAAAGCCGAGAGCATGTGCGGTGTTGTCCTATGGCCCTGGGCAACTAAGAATACCAACCACATGCCCTGCGAGTAAATAGGAAGCTGACTGTGATCCTTGATGCTCTCCATCAATCGCTCAGAGCACCATTGGTACTATGATGACAACATTCCATGATGCATAGTTGGATCCAATGGCACGTTGGATTGGTGGGTTTATCCGTTGCTCATGTTGATTTGCGGTTTTCCCCTCGACGTTGCTGTTGCTATTGGTCCTCTTAGCCACCACTCAGCAACGTGAACAGGAACCACCTGGCTGTGCGCTAGGTTGTACATGATGGATTCCTCTGGCTACAAAAATGTGATGCACTGAAATCACGGGATTGGGGCAGATGAACCGAGGTCACGAATGAAGGCGTGCAATTCAGGCGTCTCATAGTTTAGGCCAGGGGATTAGGAGAAGAGTTGCAAACGCGTCAAACATCACTTAACTTGGACCCTTGAACCAACAGGGATGAGCAGTGACACATTCCGACTTGATCACCTCGCAGCAGAAACACAGCGGAATTCAATGGTCAGCATGTGCCAGCCACTCAATCCCACTTGGGAGAAGCCATTGACAAGATTCCGTGTCATGTGTGTATGTGTGTTTGCAGGAGTATGAACCTTTGCATGCCTCAATCCATAATTCTGCGTTTTGGTTTGCCACATAGCCACTCGGCTGGCCTGTTTGGAACATGTGCATCGCCAGGTGAGGGCCAAGAAGGACTTGCGGCTCACCTACCGCGCCGTGGGCAGCGGAACTGGGCAGAAGGAGTTCTCTCAGGCCTCTGATGGCGACTACACCGCTTCCTTGTCGGATTTTGGGTCTGGTGACATCCCCATGCCCCTGGGCTGGACATTCGGGACATGGCTGCCGGGCTGGCTGCGATTGTTTGTTTTATGTGACCCGGAACACAGCTATCTGGGGCAGCACCGCTTTTTGTTTTATTTTATTTTGTGAATCGTATTTCGGCGTGGAACATTGTTGCAGTGGCTGCTGTGTACACGTGCCCTGTCCTTTGTTTGACTTGTTGCAAAGAACAATTTTGCTCGCCGCCTGGTTGGGGACGCTTCAAGCAGGTTCTATTGCCTTGTCATGTTGGCCCTCCCATGCATGGTCTTGTACAACGTATACCAAAGCGGCGTTTGTCGGCGGTTCTGTGCGCAAAGTCGTTCTTCCTGAACCCCGCCCCTCTCTGGGTGCAATTTGGAGCACGTGTGGTTTCGAGATGTTTGAAGGCCAAGCCACTTTCAAGAGGATATTGCGACAGTTCCGCTCTTGATAAGCTGGCGCGGGGACCCCAATAGTCCCGTCATGTACTGTAAAGCCATCTTTTTGCCAGAAACATGTTTATCCACCGCAATCCGTCGTCAGATCAACTGCCACTTAGAAAGAAGAGAGCAATAGATAGCGCTTTGGAAGATGGCATGTGCTGAAGGACTGCTGGAGGGAGCGGCATCGCACTGAAGCAAAGGCGCAGGAAAGGCAGATACGATAGACCTGGCAGTGGTCTCTGTATGATGCAGGCGAATGGCTCAGGCAACGAGGCAACAAGTGCTGCGTAGTCTGTTTTTGAAAGTGTCACCAAAAAGCCAAAAAAGCCAAAGATCTGGGGAAAATCTGCAGGCTCCGTGTGCATGTGAGACGGTTTTTCTATGGTTCTCAGGTCCAAGCCGCATTACGATGCCATGACCGCTGCCAGTCAGGACGGCACAGAAAGCCCAGCAACGACAAAAAATCCGCCGGTTGTGACATTGGGTTGGATTTTCAGCTTAAGTGACCCAGTTGCAACCGGTGGATTCCGCCCTTGTTGTCCACGTTTTTTTGGGTTTTGGAATCCCCTTGAAACTCAACCAACCAAAAAAAGGCGTCCTTTTTTTCCCATGGCCACTGGGCATCTGATTTGACAGTCGCTCATTCTGAGCTTCGGGTTGGGTTTCGTACAGGTCCTATGTAATCCTTGTTGTTTGCAGGCGAAAACAGATAGGCATCTTATCGGGCTTTTTGATGACACTCTATAATCCCTTCCCCCGAAATAGAACCCCCCCCCCCTTTCCACCAGGACAGAAAGTCCTGCCCCGGCAGAACACTATGTATGAATAGTGTACCTGGGCGACCCAGCGGGGCTTTCGGGAATTTAGTCACATTGAGAAGGCAAACACAAGATGACAAAGAATGATCGAAATTCAAATTGTTTTGGCTCACTACGACTGGAGTTGTGGTCTTGGGATCGGGAAATCTGTGGGGTCGACAATTGGTCTAGTATTGCCTGATTATAATTTAGTTGTTGGAAATTTAGGGCCTGGACAAATGTGCATATCAACAGATTGCAGAGGTTAAAATAGGGGAGGATTTAATATTTGACGGTGACACGATGTTGTCTCTTTGGTATGTTGTCTTGCACTTGAACAGTAAGCGCTGCAACCAGCGGACTTGACTTTGCCTAGTTCAAGCCTTTGTTGGATGATAGCTCGCCAATGGTCACCCTGCTGGTATGTTAATTCTAGCTTGAGACATGCAGAGGCAGTAGCAAAGATCACGTAGCATGACTTGTGTAAATCGCCTCAAACCAGAACATCTGGCATGACCAACGCTATAGCTGCGCTTGCCCAAGCAAGCGGCATTGTTTTTGTTTTTTTGTTTTTTTTCGCGACGTGCAGGCGATGGTGCAGGTGCCCTTCTGCCTGGGCGCCATCGGAGTATTCCACTCGGTGCCCAGAGACCAGATGGGCGCCGACTTGAAGCTCTCCCCCTGCGTCTTGGCCAAGATCTTCGATGGCGCCATCACCACCTGGGACGCCCCGGAGATCCTCGCGGGGCCCTCGGAAGCGTGAAGTTCTGAAGCCGACAGACTGAAGCCGACGGTTTTTGTTCTTCTTTTGGCTGGAAGAAGGAAGAACAACGCGGAGATTGGATGAGCTAGGAACTGTGTGCTTATGGGAAAGAGGATACTCCTCAGACTGCCCTCCCCAGAAAATATGGTTGCTGCTAGTGGAGCAAGGAAAGTAGGCTCAAACTCCAACGTCGAGTGCCTGGTTTTCTCAGGCAGAGAACCCCAGCCTCTCGGTGCCGGCCGGCACCAAGATCCAGGCAGGGAGCTCCAAATGGTCCGATCCGAGATCCAAGTGACAGGTGCTGCACCTGATGGATGTCAGGAGTCGGTCGCTCAATAAGGACCACTTGGCTTCCCTAAGCCGCGGAAGCAAATGGGAGATAATTCACTTGCGATCGGGGCGATAGGCCCCGAGAAAACATCCATCCCACTTGGTTTTCTTCAATTTGTGGAAATCCCGTAAAACGGCCTGCGGCGAGATCACGCGCAGGTGGGCCCCCGCAGCCTTGGGTCCAGCAGCACCGGAGGCATCACCGGCTACCTCCAGGCCAAGTGCCCGACCTCCTGGACGAGAGGCGAGGGACCCCCAACCGCGCCCCGAAAGCCGGGAGGAAATGCGTGTCATCAGAGGGGTTTGCTATGTTAGTGGTTGGAATCAAGATGTTTCTGGTTTCCCTTTGTTTCTTCAGCTTGGTTTGCCATGGTACGTACTTGGAAGAAAGATGTTTCTTAGTTTGATTTTTTCAAGAGCTGCATATTGTGCCAGTGTACAAGTTTGTTTGGAGCAGTCGTTTGCATGGTTGTCCTAGAATGGACCGAACCAATTGAACAAAAAACACATACGGTGGTGTCAAGCGACAAAAAGGGCTTACATTGATCAAGCACAAGAAGGTCCCTAGATATCGGGGGAGCTGTAAATTTTAGAAGAAACAAGAGATCATGTCATTGTTTTGCATTGCACATTGAGTCAGTGTCGGAGTTGTTGCTTTAGGCTTTCAGCTCTTCTTGCTCTGAATTTCTGTCTAGTCTCTTGCCGGTTGAATGAGTTTTTCACAAGGCATGCCAAATGCGTCCAAACCAGGCTCTTCTCTCAGAGTTGCTTGTCAACTTATAGCCACACCAGGCTAGCACACTGGAGTGATCCTTACTCGACAAAATCGCTGGTTTGGGTTCATGTGAGCCGCAATCAAAACCCGGGTAGATGAAGGTTAGCAAGCGACGATCCCAACCAGAAATAGCTGCGGTCGCCTTCTAAATTCTTTGCATGGTTCTGGGTAGACCATTTCAGTACCGGGTTTTGATTGTGACTCATGTCTGAACGTCGCTCCGGGAGGCTCCGGGAGCACCATCACCTGGCCCACCTCGGACAACTTCAACGCGGTGCAGGGCTCGCCGGGCATGTTGGCCCATGTGACCGACACGCCCTATGCCTTGGGATACCTGGATGCTGGCCACGGGCATCAGCGCAGCTTGCAGGATGGGACAGAGAGAGAGAGAGAGTGTAACATGGAAGTGAGGTAACGCAACGAACTAGAAACTCGTTTAAGTCAACTGAATATCTATCAATAGCGGGAGCGGATGGGAAAACCGGTGACTAGACTGAACAGGATAGCACGTGTTCAAATGTTTGGCACTGGTGGACTTCATTGAGCGTCTTTGCTTTTACATTTTAACACTGGTTCATTGGCGTTGCTTAACGACCGGCTTCCTCATTTGGCTGGGTATTGTCACAGTACGAGCGCCACAGGGCGGGAGTGCCACGGAACGGGTACTGAGAACACCATGAAGCCCATTGCAAAGCAGGGTAGAGTGTTGAGTCCCTGTGCTTCAACTTGATCGCACAAGGGCTTGCTGAGAAACCTTCTTTTGGGGATTTGAGACCTGCTCAGTATAGTGGGATGAACGTGGCACCATTTAATGTTACCTGCTGAGGGATGGGCTTACAATTTTGGGCCAAGTTTGGGCCAAGTTTGGGTCGTTCTCTTTGTTTTTGATGGAAACCATCAGTCAGAATCGCAGGGCAAGTTTGCCTTTGCGTTTGCCCTCGCAGGAAGTGAGCCTCCAAAACGAGGCCAACACCTGGCTCACCTCCAAGGATGCCATGGCCGCCACAGACAGCAACGGGAACAACGGCATCTCTGCAGCGGGGAAGGCAGCGGTGGATGCCGGGGATATCCCAACTGACGCATCCGCGGACGGAGCGCCGTGAACTTGTACCGCAAGGTCCGAGATGGAAAAGTCAAAGTCTTTGAAGTGTTGCTGAGTGAATTTGCCAAGTGCTTTTGCGATCCGCTCAATGTGAATGTTGTTGTTCGGGTCTCTTCTGAGACTCGGCAAGAGGAAGTCCTGGCTGCGCAGGACATTTGCGGCTTTTTGGGCCAGGGACTCTGCATTGCTCGAAGTTAAGACGCGTTTGACGTGACATTGGGCCAAGGCCAGAAAAATGTTTCATCTGAGATCGTTGGAATTGAACTGTTCAATATGAGTGCTCTTCGCTGCTCGCCACGCTGGCGTCTGCCAGGCGGGCACGAACACCTGGCCCATCGTCCTGGTCTCCTACATCTACATCAAGAAGGACCTCAGCAGCATGGCCGCGGACAAGGTGGCGGTGTTGAAGGCCTTTGTGGACATGGTGCTGGGTGAGGGCCAAGACATGCTGAAGGACTTCTCCTTTGACAAGGTCCCGGCCGCCATGAACCTTGGAGAGTTTGATGTTGTTTCTCTATCTCAAGAGCTGGCCCGAGGGGAAGAAATTCATGTTTTGGCTGCTTTGGAACACAATTGCCCAACGCGAGAAAGGGCAAGGATAAGCATATGTGTGTGTATGTGTGAGGGAGAGAGAGTGAGATCCTGTTTAGGTGGGTCATGTGAAGCGTGGAAAAGTAGGAGGAAGTTGCTTCTCGCACCAACCCACGCTTAATTGTTCCTCTACAAGAGTCAAAGTTGAAAAACATGTGTTGAAACATGGCCTCGTATTTGCTTAATCAGTTGGTTCGCGTGCCTTAGCATGCAAAGCGTTGTGATTCGCCAGGCTGGAACAGGTCTGCGAAAAAAGAAGGGCACCAGGACTCCTGTCAAATGCTGAGGAAGTTATGCTTGGAGTCCACTTGCACTTCCCACCAAGCTTATCTTTCGCGAAGCTTCAATGCATCTAACTGGCGGCCCTTTGACCGGCTCCCTTGGGAAAAAGAGGTCAAACTCGAACGTGGAGGTCGGTTAAAGGAGATATACGTGGATTGGTGCTATACACTAGCTGGCCCCACGTTATTCACGAAACTGCTAGGATCTGCTAGGTGGTGTACCCATAGTCTCAACAAGTGCAAGTGCCGTAGCGTCTTGGTCTTTGGCTTCTCTGAAGCGCTGTGTACCCAAACCATTGCAGAGTGCTCACTGCAGGGGGCCTCGATTTGAGCAAGGGAAAGCCAGAAGACTTGGGGCATTGGCCCTGGCAGCAGCACGATCTTGTGCGCAGCGCTGAACCGATGCATGCAAGACGGGCAGGGTGTGCGACATGCCTACAAAACAAGTCGATGGCACAAAGGCGTCACAAAGGCGTTGAAAGCGATGACCAAACGCAGCACTAATGCACGTGAATTCTGGGTGGTTTCTCCGGATGAATATACAAAGGGCGAATATACTTTGTTGGAATGTGGTTTCGCGGGCTGTTTAGATGAAGCATGTCATTTCATGCATGTCTATGTTTCTTTCTGGTTTACAAGCATGATGTATGTGTTTGTTTGATGGTCGGCCTGTGTTCAGTTGTCGCTGGTCCTTACAGTTTGTGTACTTGTGCGCTCTTTACATTGTTGATGTTTCGTGCTGTGAACAGTTGTGTGCGTCTGTTTGTGTTACTTGTTGGGCTCCTTCGTTCTTTATTCTGTTCCATTGATTTCATGTTTTGTTGTGCTCTCTTTCATGTTGCATGTGTTGACTGGTTGGCCAGTTGGTTGGTGACTTCGTAAATCGGTTGGGTGAGTCTTGTGCTCTCTGACTCTTTCTGCTGAATAGTTAGGGTTTGCGATTCACCCAGCCTCGAGGAACACTTGGAGCGCCACCTGGGCCACTGTGACCAAGCCCAGCGGCTTCACCGCTGCGGAGATGACTTTGCTCAGCAGCACGAGCGCCTGGACCGGCCATGGGAACGATGTGATCACTTCCAAGAGGCGGGGTTGGCTTGTGCTGGCCACGAGGGGTCGATTGGGATGTCCGAGGGGGTGATGGTTTCAAGGCCTTCCATGGGCTAAAAGCCAAAACGCGGCATCCCGACTTTGTCCTGGCTGCGCATTGCTAGGGAAAGGACCATCGATGTAACGACACCACCCAAACGACTCCAACCATTTTGCCCAAATGGCCATGTTCCGCGTTGATGACTGGTGTGAATCAAGCAAGCGGGTTCTGTGTCTTGTTTCTGCTGCTCGACCCGTGCAATGCGGAAAATGACAGACTCTCAAGCCAAGTGGCCAGCCTCTGGACAAGTCGCGTGGGAAGACCGGCTATCGTATTTCCCCGGGAGGAACTCCTACACCATGTGGAAGTTGGGAGAGCTGGAGGTGTCAATGGATGCTATGACAAGTCGCCTTGAGGCCTTGGAGACGCATTTGGATGGCTATGGAATTGTGCCCTTGCACGGCAGCGGCACCACCAACACCAAGAATTGGCGCCTCAGCCGACAGAACCCTCGGGCGGGCTGACTGTTGCGCATGAGATAGGCTTCTTTCTTCGGGGAGTAACAGGGCCCGGCGATCCCCGCCTCCCCTCGCCCCCCGTGGTTGGGGGAAGGCGGTGGAGTTGCAGTGGTCCAGACTTGGTTTAGGTTGTAGTGCTTTAGGATGGTTTAGGGTTGGTTTAGAGTATTTAGTTGGTTTAAAATATGTGTTTAGGGTTGGTTTAAGGTAGGTTCATGGTTGGTTTGGGGTGTATTTAGTGTTGGTTTAGGATGTGTGTGTTTTTTCATCCTTGGTGCAGGGGTGGTTAACTTAGTTTCGGCGTGGTTCAGAGTGTGTTTAGTGTTGGTTTAAGGTACGTGCTTCGGGGTTGGTGTAATTCAAGGTTGGTTTACGGTTGTTGGTTTAGGGTTGATTAAGTTGGTTCCGGCTTGGTTTAGAGCGTGTTCAGAACGTGTCAAGTGTTGGTTTAAAGATGTGTGTTTCGAGCTAGTTTAGGGTTGGTTTAGGGTTAGTTTGGGCGCAGGGCGTGCCGAGGTGTGGGTTCAGGGGGTGAAGGGGCCAGGGTCGGGTTTTGGGGAGGTGGGGGGGGATACCATTAGGCGGTGAGGGGGGGACTGGGAATCCGGAGCCCGGGACCATATATATATATATACATATATATATATATATGTATATATATATATATATGTATGTGCATACGTATACATGTTCCCGGCCCAATGTAGCTACCACTACCAAAGCCATAGGAGTTACGCTCATGGTCCCGTGTGACCTGGGTGCCTACACTCGTATGAAGCTGCCGCAACACAAAGGTTCCCAACCCATACCCGCCCACGTTCCACAGCCGGGGACCCGTCACAATGGAGGCATCGCTAAGGGGGTGGCAAGCTGGACAAAAGCCAAAGTATGCAAATGGAGAAATACAGATACAGTTACGTGTACAACATCATGTATTTCAAGTATACTATGAAGTCATCAAGCAGGAGTGGCTTGTGGTGCGGCAACTTGGTCAATGCAAAAACCAGCGATCTCAACACCTTTGCAGGAACCAGAATTGATTGCAGTTGTTGAACAATACAGCTTCGGGGGCGAAGAAGCACGTCTCTAAAGCCGGCCGCAGACAAGCTCCAGCAAACCACAACTACAAATGCCATGGCAGCAGCATAATAACCACGTACCAGTGACAGCAACAGCTACAATGTTGCCAAGAAGGACCAAGAGAAATGCGGCAACAGCCATGTAGGTAATAGCCCCATCGCAGCAACTCTTGAAATGCTTCCATTTGCTTAAAGATACTTTTTTGTTATCCCCTGTTGGTTTAAAGGGAATCTATCACTACCGGAAACATTGTTATTTTTGTCAAGGGGGCTTGAGCAAATGGCAGAATCCAGTTCCAAACTTTTGCCTCCAAGGTTTGCCAAGGCCATGAAGATCATGGAGACCCGTGCCCGGGTGCCCCTCTTCCTGACCTACCGTGCCGTTGGCAGCGGCACGGGCCAGAAGGAGTTCGTGGGCGATGGCGCCTCTATGTGCCTGGGATGACTGGATGCCAGTGCTTGTGCATGTGCATTTGGGCGTGTGTTTTGTGCGATGCCTGTGTTTGTGATTGTGCTTGTTCTTTGTTTGTGCTTGTACTTTGTTTTTTTATTCTATTGTTTTTGTTGTTTTTGTGTTGGTGACTATGTCAGCTTGCTCGTGCATTTGAATGTTTGCGTTTGTGTGTGTGTGTTGTGTGTGGATTGCATGTCTGTGTGTGTGTGTTTTGTATATATGCGTATTTTTTTTCTTCCTATGGTTGTGCTTCGTGTGGGTGTTTAGTTGCTCCTTGTTGTTCTCGTTATGTTTGTGTGGTCGTGTAGTTGTTTGCTTGCGTGTTTGCGAGACTGTGTTTGTGAGAGCGTGTGTGGGTGTGTATGTTGTGTTGTGTTGTGTTGCGTTGCGTTGCGTTGCGTTGTGTTGTGTTGTGTTGTGTTGTGTTGGGGTGTGTGTGTGTGTTTGTTTGTTTGTTTGTTTGTTTGTTTGTTTGTTTGTTTGTTTGTTTGTTTTGTTTGTTTGTTTGTTTGTTTGTTTGTTTGTTTGTTTGTTTGTTTGTTTGTTTGTTTGTTTGTTTGTTTGTTTGTTTGTTTGTTTGTTTGTTTGTTTGTTTGTTTGTTTGTTTGTTTGTTTGTTTGTTTGTTTGTTTGTTTGTTTGTTTGTTTGTTTGTTTGTTTGTTTGTTTGTGTTTGTTTGTTTGTTTGTTTGTTTGTTTGTTTGTTTGTTTGTTTGTTTGTTTGTTTGTTTGTTTGTTTGTTTGTTTGTTTTGTTTGTTTGTTTGTTTGTTTGTTTGTTTGTTTGTTTGTTTGTTTGTTTGTTTGTTTGTTTGTTTGTTTGTTTGTTTGTTTGTTTGTGTGTGTGTGTGTGCGTGTGCGCGTGTTTGCGCATATTATGTGTGACATAATGAGTGTTTGTGTGTAGTTGTAGGAGGTATGGGTGTGGCTGTGAGTTGTTGTGCTTGTGTTTGTGGCCTTGCCCGGGCGTGACGGTGCGCAATGCGCATTTTCCACAATTCTCAGGTTAGCCCAACTTGGTGGTTTGGATTGGCGATTTGGGGAGTTGAAGCCCTTCTTGTAGAGGGATGGGAAACCAGCAAGCCTATCTTCTGACACCAAGGGGGAAGCTGAGATCCTGAGGTTTAAGAGCTACAGAAACTTTGGAGCCGGTGACATTCCCATGTCCAACTCCAACTTCCAGGCGATGGCTGCCGAGTGGTGATGGAGTATCAGCAAAACAAATAACACAGAAAGCTATAGGCAAAGGCGACCAGATGTCTTGGAAGGATGTTTCTTCCTGAGAGTAGCACATATTGAACATCAAGCTAACTATAGGTGGTAGTTTTGTTTTTCGGGAAAAGCAACACCTGCCAACACGGCAACGAGCCAGCACCAAGCTCTCCATGCAATCATGGCTCCACGTTTGTGGAAGAGCATGATTTCAGGCAGCCTAACAACTCCCGGGCTTAGGTCTTCAAGTCAGTTTCCCTTAGGGACAGATAACTGGCAATCTTGCGTGAAGCCTAAAGATTAATTGAACTATTTTGAAGAGGTCTCTTCATAGCAACTTCGATGTGGCACTTGGACAGTGGCCACCTGAACAATGAGCTGATGCCAAGCCAATACAAAACCAATACGGCGATCCCAAAACCAGGGTGTTAAGCACTTCAATCACCTTTTCTACGGGTCTACGCGCCTTCCGCGCCTGGCGCGCCTGCCACCACGCCGACCGCCACGCCGACCGTGCCGTGCCCAGACCCTCATGAGCCAGAGCCCGGCGGAGACGATGGTGCACATGCCGCTTGCCCTGGGCGCCATCGGTGTGTTCCACTCGGTGCCCAAGGAGATCGATCCGGAAATTGGGCGGCGGCTTTCTGAAACGGGGCGACTCAGATTTCTATTCGAGTTTCAAAGAAGCATAGTCATCAAGTGAACATTTTCTCCGGGCCTTGATTCCGAGTACTCAGAGCGTTGATTGCTCCGGCGATTCCGGATGGGGCGGATATGCCTTCTTTCTCCGGAGGCTTTGTAGCCTTGCACAGGTGGCTCGCGTAGGGGGATGTTTCACACCAATACAGTCAGAACAAGTTGACTAAGTCCAAAACTGGTTGCCCCTTTTCCATGCTGTTGATTTTGAGGGTTGAGTAAACATGTACCAGAGTCCGACGTTTTTCGTGTACCACAACTTGGGCCTGTCACAAGGAGATGTTGGGAGGTGCCACCGAGCTGAAGCTGGATGCCTGCCTTCTGGTGCCTTGGGAAGACACAGCAGGCCTTACGTTTGCACGGGCCGGTGCTCTGGCATGCGGATGTGTGTTGTTTTGAGGGCCAAAGGATACTCCCGACGCATATCTCAAGCCTGAGCTGAATCCCAGGCCTTCCCGAAGATGCTTTTTCGTACAACTCACTAATTTGAGTACCTCACTTGGGCCAACTTCCTTCAACATGCTTCAGCCACCTCCTGCATCCACCCATGGTCTGGTTGTTGTTACCAATCTTGCACAATCGTGCTTCTGCTTAGTTCCCTTTGCCAGTGTGCAATGCCATTGTCATACCATGCACCGGCGCCCCTCACAAGCACGTGGAAATCACATTTGATGGGACTGTGCTGGCCCTAGGGATACCAGCAATAGGGCAAGCTTGTCCTTTGCTGTCCAAATCCAAGGTGACGAATATTGATTTCCAAACTGATTATGATTAATGGCACTTCAGCGACCTTTTAAATGGTATTCCTCAAGCTTCAGCCTTCGTTTGATGGTCGTTTGAGCCTGCGGAAGGGTTGCTTTAGCATCTCCATGTGGGCGGACCTGCAACGGGAGACTCCTGAACGATTTGCAGGTGAGAAAAAACGGAAACCACTGCAGGAAGGAATCAATTGTACCTGCGGGTCCAAGGTCCAAGGGTTGGATCAGAGCAAAAAGGGGCCTGAAAACCTCCTCCGTGACCTGCCAGCTTGAGAGCTATGTTACTGTATGTTGCTGTCACAAGGAAAGCATGATATATATTTATCATATGATTCAAATGGTGATGGACATGTGAAATGAGTTTGCGGCAAGGAGTCCTGCAATTGAAATCGCCACTAGAGTTTCAGTACAAATACAGGAATTCCCCACGGAGCACTGTACCACATCTTTTGGTCGGTTCGCAATGTTCAGGGGATATGGATAGCGCAATTTTTTTGTGCCTTCCCTTCTTGAGGATGGTTTATCTCGGGGTCATTCCAATTCTCATTCTTTGCCTATCGCACCCATCGCAAGGTTTGAGGGCTCCTCATTTTGAGAGAGGGTACCCATAGGCCCCGAAATCAGTGAGGCGAAGATCTTCAGCGGTGCGGTGACCACCTGGGACGACCCCCAGGCGAGGGCATTGCCAAACCACTCAGGGCGGATCATCACTAATATTCATCCTAAGAAACCCAGTGGTTTGCACATCGCATGCACAAATCTGCGAGAACAGCATCGTTTGCACTAATAGTACAGCATCAAAGCAGTTGTGCTTCCAGGTGCGAGTCCCCCTGCTTTCTTGCACTTGCATTTCGAAAGCCGAGGACGCAACTCAGAAATCTGAGGCGTGGTAGGTTGAACCCTCAGATTCGCATGCCATAAGTGCAGTACATGGTTTTCTTCTGGCTTCCCTGCAAAGCCGAGCCAGCGAACATGTGGCTGCAGGGTCCCTATATTTCCCTGTTTGGTGGTTTTGAATATCATTTTGTTTCCCCATGTCACGTGTGTTTACCTTGGTAGGGGTGATGTTTCAAGAGGACAACTAGGAAACCCTCTTATGCACTCCTGCAGCACATGGTTTGTGCCCAGACAGGTTCTGACGCAGAACCCCAACCTGAACGTGCCTGCAAACACTGTCATCAAGGTGGCCCACAGGAGACAAACAATGCGGAGTGCTTGGGTCCAGGAAGCGTCATGGACGCCTCCAAGAGTTTGTTTGAAGCAACCTCAGGAGGGACAATAGCACCCTGTTTGTCTATGTTGTTCATACTATGTAAAGCCATGAAGCGGGAAAAGGAACGTATGGCCATGGGTCAAACCCCCGTACACCCAGTGAACATCCCAATCCCCACTAAAATAGACTAAAATGGGTGGTGCACCTATCCCGAAATGGTACCATTGGTTTTGAGTCATGGCCATATTTCTATGTATGTGACCGGTGGTGCCGCTGGCCTATATCAGTCTTTAGGATCTTGGCGGCGGGCTGCCCAGCACTGTGGACAGTCACTGACTTGCCATGTTGCACAAGGTCTCATCTTTATCCATGCCGGAAAGGGTTGGATGGAACAAATATGTTCAATTTTGTTTAGTCGTAAAATATGTCCAAGATTAATGCGCTTTTGAACAGATGATGAATAACCACCCTCATAGGCTTATTCCCCCAACATAGAATTGTCTAATAAGTTCTTGCCGTGTGAAAATACACTGATTGCAAACTGCAGCTCAAGTTTGGAGGTTCTTGTTTTGTTTGTCAGAACCCTGCCAGTTGTTTGGTTAAGCTCAGCGGGGGTCAAATTTTCGGCACCTGGGTCAGGGTTGGCTCAACCCCTTCATGTGTTCAAACCGATAAAGACACAACTTGCCTGTTTCCACCACTTTGTTTTTCCTTAAGGGAGTCGGGGGGCCAAATGTATTTAGGGGAAGCTTTTAAAAGTGGCGGTTTCCGCTTTGCCTTGGTGTGAGAAAGGACTTGAAACCTGAGACCTGTGGGAGTTTGGTTTGGAAAGCTTGTTGCCCTTCTTGGTCTGGAAAGAGTTTGGCAGTGGCGCCATTTCTGTAAGGGAACCTCCAAAAGTGGCGATCGTTTTTTGTGGAAGCAGCCGGAACTCCAGTCTGTTGGGTTTGGGGGGGGGAATTAAAACATCCTCCAACAGTGGCAGTGGGAAATGGACACCAGCAGTAGATTGCAACTTTTAAGGGGAATGCAGTGACCCCTGTTTCTTGAAAGTTCAGGAGGTGCTTGAAGCTGTGGCCTGGACTCTTGGCCTTTTCGGCTTTTGGTTCCAAAGGGCCCTCCTCTTCCACCCAATTCTACGGCAGCCAGCGGGGTGTACGTAATTTTGCACAGGCGCGCGTTCACCCCTTCAGGTCTCCTTTGGTTTTGTTTCAAAGGGAACCCCTCCTTCGCCACGAAACCACCGATTCGGCTCCAAACCACCACTTAGAGGGAAGCTGAAATCATAGAAAACCAGACACTCGCGTCAGGACCTTGGGCTCCAGCAGCACCGGGGGCCTCTCGGGATACTTGAACAAGAAGCGCCCCGGAAGTCGATTTGTCGATTTGTCGGACCGGGTGGCTTGAAATCGACGGCCGGGCGGGGGGGAGGGGTGGAAACATCTGGCCAACCGAACTGCCAAATTTAGGGTCGCCACCCCACCGCCCCATTTTGTGAGAGGTGTGTGGATGCGGATGATCCTTTGCATATTCCTTTGCTTGCTGACCAGAGGGACTGCTGTACGCCGTTTGTAAACCAGAATCACTGGAGGAGAAGCCGATGATATTTCGCACGCAGGAGCTATCATAGAGCACGTGGCATCATTGATGGTTTTAAGGAACCAGCAGTAACATGTTCCACGTCGCATGAACTTTGGTTATGATTGCGTGTAGATTTGACCGCATTTGCGGGGTTAGAGTCTTGCTTCCCCCAGAAGGAATGAGTAGTTGAGAGGACACTGCGCCGCTTGATTGGGGCTGAAAATAATGATTTCCTTTTGCTTTGTCACACAAGCCCTGTTTGACGTTCACTGGGGCCTTGTCAAGATGCTCTAAATATGCCCTCCCTGCAGCTTGTCCAAAAGGGTGCATTGGTTTCCTACAGCAGGGGGTGCTTTTAAGTTGCGTTGCACACCCAACTTAGAGACACCAATCCGACACCATCACTTGCTCTGCACTTTTTGTTCCAGCCAGGTGGAGATGCTCACCGAAACCTTTTGCCACACTTGGGGGCTCAAAACACCATCGAAGCGAGTTCCATTTCATTCCTTTCAACCCAAAGTTGCGATCTTCGCCCTTTCAATTACATTCAGACTTCGCAGAGTCCGTTCTCGACTTAGGTGCCCAGCCAGCTGGACCTTGGGGGCCTCCTCCTCCATCAGCTGGCCCTCCCAGAGCAACTTCAACAACGTGGAGGGCTCTCCGGGCATGCAGAGCTTCATCATGGGCAACCAGTATGCCATCGGCGCCTCAAATCGAAGATTAGATCCATCGAACGTCTCTTTCAGAGTACCCGTAAATCATTTTTTGTTTTGTGTTTTTGTTGAGGGAAAGCACGGGGAAATCGATCACTCCTTCGGGGGTTCGATGTGAAGATACACCCATCGTGCTGTAGCGTTCGTACTGGGTTTAGACGTTAGTCAATGTATACCGGCGTAAGAACTGAAGGAGCTTCGAACCTATCAAGCACCCCGCCGCCACTCCGACATCACGTTTGCAAACAGAGTTCGTTTCCGATCCAAGGGACCTGGGAGCTTTCAGGCCAACCTGGGAAGATACCTTTCAAGTTGGATTGTTTCCTCTCAAAAAGATCGACGAGGCTTGTTTTCCTCAGGGGGGCTGAACAGGGGCCCCTCCAAAAAGTAAGGTTCCATGGTTTGCTTTTTCCTTTCCAACCCATCTCAACAGGGATCCAACTTGTGTTGACAGATGCCCATGTGGGTATGAGTCAGAATAGCCCCCCCCAAAGAAATAGTAGCAAGGTATCACACACACACACACAATCGTGTCTTCCATTTGCTTAAGAATATCGGCCCCTGTTGGTTGTAAAGAACATTTATCAAGACTTGAGATATGTAAAAAAAGACAAAACAATCCTGGGGGCGTATCCACAAATGGAAGCTGTGGGTTTGTCAGGCTACCTGGACGCGGGCCACGGCCACGACTTCGAGATGTCCGAGGTGGCGCTCACCAACTTCGCAGGCATGACGCGGACCTCCAAGGCTGGGCCCTCCCGAAGTCGGGTTTGGAGAAACCATTCGCGTCACGCCCCCTTTGAGAAACCAGCGCTTTTAAATGTTCAGGGTCCATTTGGGTGCTCAAAATATCCAGAGCAAGGGTTTCACAGCAGGTCTATTCATCGGTTCCATTTACCACGGGCCCATGTTGGGCCTTTCGTTGAGCCATTTTGAAAAGAAACCCACAGTCCAGGCACCATAGGAATTTCAGTGTTTGTTTCCATTTAAAGTTTCCACGGGCCCCTGTTGGGCACCATTTTTTTCAGCCATTGGGAGAGCCCCCATGGGCGTCCAGGGCTCTCGCTCGCTCGCGCGAGTCGAGTCGCCAGGAGTCCATCGCGCTGGGCGGCGTGGCGGAGGCTGGGTCCCAGGCCGCCAGCTCCAACGTCTTCCCCGCGGACGCCTCCACGGACCCGCGGCGCAAGGGGCTGGGTCCCTCTTTCCCGACTGACCAGCAAGTTATTTGGCTGGCTGTCAGGGAGCAGAAATGGATCATGACATTCGAATTGCTTGGCGATTCCTGATGTTCGGTTTGTGAATATTGCCCAGACGGATGGCCGATAAAGCCGCACATCAACCAGACAATCAAGAAATGAATCTGGTCTAACACGGCTGGTTGAATCTCCTTGAATCCTCCAGACATGACAGATTATCGAAAAGATTGGTGGCTTTTGAGACCGCCGATGCTGTTGCTGAACACAGCAATGCATGCTGTGGTAAGGCAAGAAAGCTAAAATGCAACATTGAAGGGGGCGTGGTTGCGCCCTGCAATATGTGACGCCACGCCATTATGATTGTTTGAATTATTTCGTACTGCTTCAGCAGTTTGCTATTGAGCATTCTTCCGTCCATGTGTGGGTAGCTGCTAGCTGATAGTATCGCTTTGCTTAGAACATGTGATAGCCGTTGAACATGGCTCTGCGAATGTACTCGTCTATGCACTTTGCAGCAACAAACCCTGAGTGGCAACCATCCGCCGTACATGGAGCTGTACATTATGGAATCTAGGAATCCAAACAGTGGCACGTGGGAGTTCGAAAGGCAGCTCTACCCCTGTTTAGTGCTCGCTCACACATTGGGAAGCGGGCACAAATGTTCTTTGTGCGGCTGGGTTGTATCGCATTCAACATGACTCCATCAAAGCAACAACTCCCGGACCTCACGTTGACAAGCACCACCTCGGTTTGTGGCTGTCATTGCTACAGCCTGCAAAGCTCATGCCATGGCCGCTTCAAAGTCTGAAGTTCGACGCCATGCACAGCAAGCCCCGCAAGCCTTTGCCAAACGACGTTACCTTGCAGTGCGAAGCCATCACAGACACCCTGGCCTCACGATTTTCCAAAGAATGTGGCATTCCAACGAGGAAAGAGGGTGCGCGCATCAACCTCATGTCGTAGGGAGCAACAAAACAGGAGGAGACACATGACACAGCAAGTGAATCAAACGAACAATATCATGGCATACAATCATTGCGAGGGCAACACCTGAAACAGACGGCAACGTTGATGCGATTGTTGTCATCATTGACGAAGCCTTGTGTCTCATCCTTGCCTTCGACCAATTGTCATAGCTCTGTCAGATGTTTTCCAGCAGCCTCATCCGCAACTCAGATAGTCTTCATGTGCGCAAGTGGTGTTACCAGATTCTGGACCTGCGGAACATCTAACCAGCGCCCTCACGCCACAAAAAGACGAGGCCAACCTTGAAAAAGTCGAGGACTGGTCTGCGGTGAACCTCTATGACATGCCGGGAGACAGCACCTGGCCCATCGTCTTGGTGAGCTACCTGTATGTGAAGAAAGATCAGTCGAGCACGAATCCCAAGACTGCTGCTGCTTTGCAGGCCACTGAGCAGCGGGGGGTGTGCTTTGACGGAACCCTTTTGGGGTTGGTTTAAAGGGAAGCCCACAGAAAACCATTTGTTCGAGGGGTCCTAGTTACAGACACACCCACTTGAGCAGCAGTATTTTTTGTAGTAAAACCTGTGAAACACTCTTCGTCTCGACGAATATCCTGTTGATTTGTTTGGCTTTGGCGTCACTCATTGCTGTTTCTGTCCGGTCATGGATATCAAACCGACTTGCCGTGGTTTCACGCGGAACTGGCTTTGTGAAAAGGCCCTTTTACAAGAGGCACGATGTAACCCCCCTCCGCCTTCCCTCTCAGGCGTGGTTGCTTTGCTGAGCAGGGTTCTGGGTACATTGACATTATGAGGCCAAGTACCACTGCAAAGAAGGTTGCGGCCTTGTTGAATACAAAAGATGGAAACCAATAACCAAGGCAGGATCAAATACATGTTCTGAACTTATATTGTTTGAATGCTTTGCGCAAGTCTGTTTAAGTGCCTCCCAATGTTGCCTGTATGGCATCTGTTTTGGGACCCTTGCGCATGAATGTGTCCACACCATTGTTTCTTGTGAGGGCACGTGTCAACCATAGGGCCACGTCCAGACATTGTCTTTCCGTGAGGCTTTCCAAGTAGTCATCTCAAAGGGGCCCCGGCTCGGCCGCAGTTTGGCCTCAGTTTGGCTCGCATTCTTGGGGCATGAGGGTAAAACACCTTTCACATCATGGAGCCCACCGGCAGGCTTTTTGGGAGCTTTCTGTGGTTGCCAATCAGTGGGGTGTCCAGGCTACTTTTGTTCGGGCTGACAAGCATGCCCAAGCTTCATTCGTGTAAGTGGGAGGGAGGCTGTCCTGCATCCAGCATCATGTAAAAACTCAGAGGAGGAGGGTCAGGGTTGTGCAATCTCGCAAATGATGCAGGTTTCGAGCTTAGTAACTTGGGACACTGTGTTCCAATCATTTGTTTCAAACCAGTAATCATCACTCCATCAAGTACCTGGGCGACGTATTGGTTAAATTATATTGTCCCTTTCACTTGCCATGGATACCAGGTGTTTCAGGACCCTAGCCCTACCCCGAATCGGGCCCCCTTTCATTCATGGGAGGCCTTCATCGACATGGTCATCCGCGACACCGACTCCCTGGCCGCGGAGTTCGGCTTCACCTCGCCCTCGGCGTCTCTGCGGTCCCTGAGCCTCAGCGCGGCCAGCACCATCGTCTACCCCGCAAGCATGGCAGGGAAACCCAGGATGTCGCCGTGCTTAGATGGGGGACGGCGGACACATGTCCTACAGGAGGTGGCAATGACCTCGAAGTTGCAGGTGCATGGCGCCCCATTGGAAGGGCATCAGGTCGACTGCAGGTAGAAGTCGGCACGAAAGGGAGGTCCCTTCAACCAGGGCAAGCCGCAACCAGAGTTCAGAATCAAACTGCAAAGGAAAGCATGGGACATGTTACATTACTGTTACATACTTCATGCACTCATCATCAGAATCCTTTTGTGCTATATTATGCGAAGCATTCAGCATATCCCATACGACCGCCTGGCAACAGGGTGGTTTCTATGAGCTAAACCATGAAATGAAGAATGCTTCAATACCCTATGAGAGAGTGGGGTTACATCAGCACCTCCAGACAGATGGACGCTTTCCAAAGTAGTCGTTCCTTTTGCTGGGCCATTGTTGGGTAGATTGACCTTTGTGTCCCTTCAACATCAGCCTCAAAATGCTGGTCCTTACTTATCTTTTGGAAGCTCTCAAAATGAATGCAGATACACACACCATAATATTATCGTCCCGTCAAGCACTTCTTTCAAAAGAGCGCGCATTCAAATGAACACAGCTCATAACAGCTCATATGGCTTTGTAGCAACGCTACTAGTGTTTTGTCGACACTGCAGTATTCTGCTAAAGTAATCATATTTTCGCCAAGACGCTCAAACCCAGCCTGTGCAGGCGGCATACCGAAGAGTTCTAGCTTATGTTTAATAACACAAAAAGTGGTCTTATTGTTTAATGACACAAAAAGTGTTCCTATGGCTCGTCGCAAAAGGTCTACCAGGGCTATCGTGAGTCCATTGGGTCCTTTTGGGTCCACCCTTTGGGTTGTTTGTTTTGTTTGGATTGAGAAGCTTTGGATTCTTTATGTTTGGGTCCACCTTTTGGTCCATTTGTGTTTTGCAGCCAACCTGGGACCATGCTAGAAGGTCGACGATGGCTATATAGAGCCGCCACTGCAACAGTCGTCCGAATGTGTGCTTGCGTTTGTGTGTTTGTTTGTTATTATTTTTCTGTGTGTGTGGGTGTTTGTGTGTTCTGTGTGCCTCTGTGATTTTGTTTGACTGTCTCGGTTCCTATGCCTTTGTGTCTCTGCATCTCTTTGCCTATGGGTTTGTGTGTTTTTGTACTTATTTGTTTGTGTGTCGGTGCGCCTGTGACTCTGTGTGTGTGTGTGTGATTGATTAATTTGATTGATTGATTAATTATTTGATTGATCGATTCATTGATTCATTGGTTCATTGATTCATTGGTTCATTGATTCATGGATTCATTGATTCATTGGTTCATTGATTCATTAATGCGTTGATTCATTGATTCATTGATTTGATTTGATTGATTGATTCATTGATTTGATTTGGTTTGATTTGATTGGAATTGATTGATTGAATTGAATTGAATGGATTGATTTGATTGATTGATTCATTGATTGATTCATTGATTGTTTGATTGATTGATTCATTGGTTGATTGATGAATTGATTGATTGATTGATTGGTTGATTGATTGATTGATTGATTGATTGGTTGATTCATTGATTGTTTAATTGTTTGATGTTTATTTCAAATTTGTGGAATCGAGTTGATTTGGTTGGATTCGGATGACTGAAAGAAATGTTTGTTTTGATTGGTTCAGTGATTTCATACGCGTTGAATTCATTTGAACGATTGCTCGATTGGTTAGATGTGTTTGATTTGATTTGAATGAATTGGATTGATTGGTTAATTGATCGATTGATTGCTTGATTGACTCAGTCTATTTCATTTGATTTTATTTGGTATGTTATGTGTTTTTGTTTTGATTGATTGTTTTGAATGATTTGACTTGAGTTGTTGATGTATTAATTGATGTGATTGGTTGGACTCATTTGATATCTTTTGATTTGGTTCGATTTCATTTGATGTGAATGTTAGATTTGACTCATTGATTGATTGATTAATCGATTGATTCATTCGTTCGTTCGGGCATAAGTAGGCAGGCGGTTGCTTTTTCTGTTTTGGCGCCGTTTTGGTTGCTTTTTCTGCTTTCAGTGCCGAAGCCGCTTCCCAGCGGGCACTAGACGAGCGCTAGACGGGCACTAGACGCACAGACGAGCACTAGACGAGCACTAGACGGGCACTAGACGGGCACTAGACGAGCACTAGACTAGACGGGCACTAGACGAGCGCTAGACGGGCGCTAGACGAGCACTAGACGGGCACTAGACGAGCACTAGACGGGCACCAGACGACGGGCACTTAGACGGGCACTAGACGGGCACTAGACGGGCACTAGACGAGCGCTAGACGGGCACAGACGAGCACCAGACGGGCGCTAGACGAGCGCTAGACTAGACGAGCACTAGACGGGCACTAGACGAGCACTAGACGACTAGCGCTAGACGGGCACTAGACGAGCACTAGACGGGCACTAGACGAGCACTAGACGGGCACTAGACGAGCACTTGGACGGGCGCTAGACGAGCGCTAGAGGAGCACTAGACGAGCACTAGACAGGCACTAGAGCGCTAGACGGGCACTAGACGAGCACTAGACGGGCACTAGACGAGCACTAGACGGGCACTAGACGAGCACTAGACGGGCACTAGACGAGCACTAGACGGGCACTAGACGAGCGCTAGACGGGAACTAGACGAGTGGACGAGCGCTAGACGAGAACTAGACACTAGACAGAGCACTAGACGAGCACTAGACGAGCGCTAGACGGGCACTAGACGAGCACTAGACGGGCACCAGACGAGCACCAGACGGGCACTAGGCGAGCACTAGACGAGCACTAGACGAGCACTAGACGGGCACTAGACGAGCACTAGACGAGCACTAGACGAGCACTAGACGGGCACTAGACGAGCACTAGACGAGCACTAGACGGGCACTACGGGCACTAGGCGAGCACTGGACGAGCACTGGACGAGCACTAGACGGGCACCAGACGAGCACTAGACGGGCATTAGACGGGCACTAGACGAGCGCTAGACGGGCACAGACGAGCACCAGACGGGCGCTAGACGAGCACTAGACGGGAACTAGACGAGCACTGGACGAGCACTAGACGAGAACTAGACACTAGACAGAGCGCTAGACGAGCACTAGACGAGCACTAGACGGGCACTAGACGAGCACTAGACGAGCGCTAGACGGGCACTAGACGAGCACTAGACGGGCACTAGACGAGCACTAGACGGGCACTAGACGAGCACTAGACGGGCACTAGA